TTATAACATTTAAATGTTAACTTAAAATGTTTGGAAGCCTCAAGGTGTAATTAAAATAGCCAACCCATTCAGTTTTTTTTCTTTTTGAGCTGTGGCTTTCTAATTTAATTTTGAGAAAAACAAGTTTGGGGAGATCAAAGGTTCCCCATAATGGCCCTTGTAGCTCTACATTACTTTTGGTTAAGGTGATCTAGTTTGTTAGCACTGTGCTTGAGGAGGGACCATAGTTTTTAAACATAAAACCAGTTGGGGTCCTAGAAAGGGGGGTGCCCACAGAGCATTTTGATGACTGAGATCTCATTTCTTAGAGGTTTTTCTCTAGAGCAAATAAAAGTTATTAACGGTAGTTTCAAGAGGAACAGTCTGGTTCTGAGAGTCAAACCAAATGCTAGCACAGTTCCATTAGAAACAGTCTGACCCCCAAAAGGATACCCCACAGTTTTATCAGCACAGTTCATTGGGGACAGTCCAATCCCCAAGAAGATATGGACTGATGGCTAGCACAGTTCCAATAGGGACAGTCTGCTTCCAAACAGGAGTCAGACCAAAGACTCAGCATAGTTCTTCAGGAACAGTTCACTTCCCAAAAGAATATGGACTAAAGGCTAGTACAGTTCCAATAGAAACAGCCCAATTCCAAACAGGAGTTGGACCAAAGGGCAAATGAGCACTTTTAGAAAGAACAACATCTTAGATCCTGAATCTAGAGAGCTCAGAAATGCAAAGAGTTCAAAATCCAGGAGAAAACACCCTCAAACTCTACAGTTGGCAAGAAAGCAGTGAGATTGATGGGCTCGGTGGGTAATGGCACCTGATTACTCACCAGTCTACAAGTTGTTGGGGGCTGGGTGGGGTGTGTGTAGTCTCTGGATCCCACTTCTGACACCATGTAATGTTAACCTTAAATAAGAAACAGTTATGAAACAGCAAAAATGAGTTATTTGGGAACAGTAGAGAACTGCAATCAGGTTGTACTAACTTCCTCGATTCAAAACAATTATCTATTACTTAAAGACAAAATGAAATTCTAAATGCAGCTTTTATTTTTTTCGTTTTGACTTGGAAGAAACAAATATTCCAGAGGATGTGTTAAACTAATTAGGTTTATTGGCATGTTGAATTACTTTGAGAAGCATTTTTTTTTCCCAAACAAGCAGTGATAAGCCTTCTTTATATTGTATTTACATAGTTTATATGTGTTCTAGAAATTAGGTGACATTATTAGGAATCTGATATGTTCTGGCATAATGTTATTATCTGTAATCTCTTCCTTTCTGAAACTGCTGTCATTAAACTGAGAATCACACTAGGGGAATTGAACCTGAGTATCAGGGTGATTCCTTCGCTGATTTTCATGCAGGTGCAGCAGCAACGGCGTCTATACAGGTATGGCACACGTGGATGAAGTCAAATCTGCTTTTATAAAAAAAGACCTCTCAATTAAGATAGGCTAATAATGGTTATAAATCGGCGAGTAGCTGGGGCTATGGGAAATCCAAGACAGCTGCTTGGTTCTTCCAGAGCAAACCCTATTTTGGGTTTTGATGTTCTTTTTATCCACCTTAATGCTCTTAAGGAACATTATTTTGGTCCCCAAAGACCTCAGACTTTCTTCCACTGTGCTTTTTGAACACCTGCCACTTCATTCGGCTGCCACTTAGCATGAATTACCAACCAATACGTTGTCATTATTGTATGTGTATTTTCCGGATGGGGTGTAGCCTTCCCCTGTGGTAAGGCTGATGCCCTTACAGTAAAGAAAGGGTTAGAGCATATGTTTCCCACTAGAGGTATGTCTTTCACAATCTCCAGTGATGGAGGTACCCACTTAACTGGGCAAATTATACAAGCCTGAATAAAAAGGCTTGCAAACTTCTTGGCCTCAAACATAAGATGAAATAGTCACTGGCAGGCCAATGCCTATTACATAAGACCTTTTACTGATCCCTTGTTATCTCACACTAGTCTGCAAATGTCTAATGCCTTATACTTAGCCTTATCATAGGCAAATGATGCCTTCCCAGGTCCCCAGTTCAAAGGATCCTGTTGGTCACAGAGTGGAGCATGGTGACTGGGCATTCTGGAACTGTCACCAGTTTAAAACTCCTTACAGCCCACATGGAAAGGCCCTTTCCAAGCCCTCCTAACTAACTCTTGTGCAGCACAATTGCAGGGGGTTGACTCCTAGATTCACATTTCTCACTTAAAAGGGCACCTGTTCCAGAGTGGCCCATGGAAAAGATAATTCAGTGACTGAATTATTGCTTCTTTTTTCATTGTTATGGGACTGGTGCCAATCCATATGCCTGACCGCACCCCTCGTTTGTTGGACCATAGAAAAAGTCAAATGATGTTTTGAAAAAGGCCACTTTCTGGGATTCCAAATGGGAAAACTTAATTCATTAAGCCAGATATTCAGGTATAATGTCAAGACCCAAAGCTTGGAGTCTACCTTGTATGAGCCTATACTTAAATCTTCCCTTCAGTTCTAATTTCACAGGGTATGTTTATTACACAGAAAATTCAGTGGGGGGAAAATCTATAGAAATCCTGCCAGGTAACATTACCAGGAGGGATAATCACACAAATAAAGCAGGCAGATTTTTATCAGTGATACTGTGGCTATAGGAATTCATGGGGAACCTCTTGAAAATCTCCTGGGATACACTGATGCTCATGCTTTAATTACACATTATATTTCCTGTCACAGTGCCACGTGTCCCCATTCCCTTCACCTTGTTTGTGGGTGGGCCCCAATCCCAACTAATGCTAATCTGGAAGAAGGGAAAGGTTGGGAGGCAGCATGGAAACAGAATGAGGCAATCAACCACTGGCTAGAGAAAACTACCTCCACCCAGCGAAGCCTCTGCTATGTTGCCTCAGATGGAATCAGAAGTAGCCATGAAAGGTGGCCTATTATCTGCTGAAACTAAAGAAACACACTTTGGAAAACTTATGGTCCTCTCAACTTGTGAGAAAAAATAGAAGGGACTTGTAACTTACGCCTTTGCTCCCTGACAGCACTGGCTCCTAAATTAAACCAGCAAAAGCCCATGAAATAGTACAGGCAGTGGGAATAGGGACCATTCATGAAAATAACCGAATACTTCCCATGGGTAGCTGATGGACTCTGCTTACTAATAGTCATACTGGTTAAAAAACATGCTGATGTTTGTTCAGGATTTATTGGATGGTTTTCTTACCTATGTCATTAAGCTATAACCACTACTGTAATTTAATTATGCTTCTGTTATAGTATTTCAGGTGGTGTGCTAGGTGCCGGAGGAAACAATGGCAGGACAGAGCCTGAATCATGTTAGCTAGGAAGTTAGAAATTATTCAGAAGGCATATTCTTGATAAGTAAGTTAGGGAGGGTCATGAGGCCAGAAAACCGCTGAGTCATTGAACATTGTCCTGGACAACATCAACGTATGATCATGATATGCAGCTGAGGGTTGATACCTGACCATAAGGGGGAAATTGTGAAATAGAATGAAATTATATGGTTTCCTAGGTGGTCCCCACAGGAGAAGGGCCATGCAAACTGCAGAGGCCCCTGTCAGCCAGGTCAGCTGCTGTGCTGTGAAGATGCCCTGTCATTCTCACCTGTGTTACAAGATTCACAACCTCTCAGCCCACACCAGTGGAAAAACAGCTTGGAATGCTCAAAAGAAGATAACCAGGTCTGGTTCTTGTGTCCCTAGTAGAATCCTTTAGGTGAATACCTAGCAATCCTAATTGTTGCTTCCTCTCACATGAAGATGGCATCAGAAAGTTCATTGTTCCTTCAGGACAGTGTCCCTAATGTATTCATTGACAGAACCTTGTTTCCTGCACCCACCCCTCCTTTGTAAAAAAAAGGTATTTAAGAAGTTCCCAAAGGGGGCCTTGCAGCAGTTAATCAGAACGCGATGATGGACTGCCCTTGGGCCATGGTCCTCAGTAAGACATTGACTACGTTTTCTTCCTTAAAGGCAATGGTCATGTTGATTTCAGTTGACAGGTGTTATTATTACCCCCATGTTATAGATATGGAAACTGAGGCCCAGGGGAGCTATATATTTTGCCCCTGTCATAAGAAGGAACCGTAATCAGCATCAGAACTCTGACTAAGCAGGTTCTTGGAGGAAATATAAACAAATTAGAATATTGTTGGAAATGCTGTCAACAGTACTTTAGGAACAGAATGGGTCCCTGAGACCCCCGTCATTAGGAAAGCTTCAGAACCCGAGTTTTAAGTGTTCACTAACTTCTTCAAGAGAAAACCGAAATTTTGATCTGGGGGAAAAAGGGAGCAATAAAACTGGTTCCTTGGCCAGAGGCTCTGAAGGAAAAGCTAAACACAGACCGCCTGGGTTTAATCATTCTTTTATTGCTCACAATCTGCAAGGATGCAAAGCGCCAGGTCCTGGGACAATTAGCGGCCCCGCGCCAGGCCGGAAGGTGGAGGGAGGCTGGGTCCCGGCCAGGAGGATGCAGGTAGGGAGGTCACTCATCCCAGGGATTGCAGCCCTCGGGTAGAGGAAGGGGGCTGGGTGCAGGGTGACCCTGCAGAGTCGGAGTCTGGTAGCCACCGGATAACGGCCGCCGGACTGGCGGGTTCAGGACTCCCGCTGCACCTGCTGCGCGGACCAGTAGTTCTTCCGCCCCGCCTCCACGTGCCCCATCCCCGCTCTCTCATTGGCTCTTTCGGCCCTCTCTCCTGTCCTAAGAAGGCTGTAATAAAACCGTCCCTCTGATTGGCCCAGGGGCTTCCATCTGTCACTCTGATTGGTCAATATAGCCACGCCCTCTCGCCCTCGGCCTCCCTCCTCGGTCATACCAAAAGAGAAGAGGGGGAAACGTATATTTCAAGGTTCTCTTTTGGGTTACCTTGTGCTATAATAGCCCCTATAATTCCCTCAGAAACAATAGTTTTGTTAGCACAAGGTACACAGAAGGTATTTCGGTTGCCTCCGACTCGGAGGACGACCGAGTGATCCTGTCCCCCTGCCGGCTGAGGTGGTGCGCTCCGGGCGGGGCAGCGCCATCTGGCCGCGCCTGGGACCTAGAGTTGCGCGGAGAGCAGGGCCTGGAGCTCGAGATGCTGTCGCCGACGCCCCCGTTCCTCCGCGCGCTGCTGGCCCGCCCCTGGAGGTGGGTCGGGTGAGTGAGCCCGGGGCTGGGGTCCCAGATCCTGGGAGTCGCAGGGCACTCCCTGCGCACACTCCCTGCCGGGTCCCTGGGGCGCCCTGTCGCCGGGGGTCGCTTCGCTTAGGGCCCCCTGCTCCTCACGAGGCCTTCCTTCTACTGCAACCCCTCGTTTTCTTCCTTCGGCGAGGGGAACCCCCTTCCTGAATCCTGTGGCGGAGGGGGGCGGGGTTGTCCCTCGGTGCCCTCGCGGCTCCCACGCTCGGGAAGTAGCCTCCTACGCTCTTGTGTTAATCCTTCACCTCGATCTTCGAAATGTTCCCGCCCGCCGCGCTGGCTTCCTCCCAGGGGCCGTTTTTAGCACCCCTGAGTCCTCTCTCCTCTCTTTCGACTCGGGATTTTGACCTCTTTTTCTCTTCCCCCTTTTTTCAAGTTACTGCTGGGCAGAAAAGGGACTCCTTTCTTCTGGCAGGTGGAAATGTTAACAGAATGCTTATAATGTGCCAGATGCAGTGCTCGGCACTTGGTGTATGCCTTATTGTGATGACTGAGTTAATGTGAAGGGTCCTGAAAGTGCCTGGGCAGGTAGGCAGCCTAGTTATTATTAATCAGGATCATGATCACTTTCATTTAAACTGTTGCAAACCTCCATACTGCGGAGTTGGGCTCCTGGACCCTTGCCCACGCAGTGACATGTTCTCAGAGTCCCTTCCATCTCTGGGTTAGGTGTGGGGAAGTAGGTAGGACACAGACCCTGCCCCAGAGGGGCTCACAGTCTGGTGAGGCTGCTCCCTTATGGACTGGTGTTTCTGTGGACCTCCCTTTCAGAATCGGGCAGTCCCCCGCCCCCAGTTTGAGTTTTGTTTACCTGACCCCTAGGACTGTCACCAGTCTTCCCTGCTGAGCTGTGCTTTCTGAGTTAATCAGTGTCCCAAGGGGTGGCATGGGATGCCCTGGGCACAGATGAATCTGAGCACTGCTCTCTGTCCTCACTGTGTGGGTTTGGGATAGAGAAGGGCGGAGGGCAGGGTTCCTGACTTGAGCCTAGATTGGGGGCCACACTTGCTATACCCTCAGCTTGGTCCCAGTTGCAGGCATCTCCATGCACTCAGAGATAACCCATCTCAGACTCTGGATGGAAGCCCCACTGATTGACTTGTTTACTGAGCACCTAGCATGTGCAGTGCTGTGCTAAACACTGGAGGAAGGGGACCCACATCCATTCACATGTGGATGGGGCCTTCCAACAATTTTTGGTTTACTAGAGGAGAAAGGCTTAGACATAACTTCCCCTAAAATCTGGTAGAAAGCAATCCATATTCTAAAAAAGCCCATAAAAACAGTAATATTTATCCAGCAGCCAAACACATAGGCTTGGCACAGTGCTGATAAGCACTGTTATCCCCATGTTACATATGGGAAACTTACCTGCCAGTTAAGGCAAAGGTAGGACAAAAATCACAGTTGGTCTAACACCAGAGTCGTGTTCTTAAGCACAAGGCCTCTTGAATGGAGAAAAAGCATTTTGCAACCAGAGAGAAAGCTTTTGCAACCAGATCCACAGGCCTCAGGTTACCTTCTGTGATATAGCAGCTGGCTCGATGCCCTAGATAGAGTTTCTCAACCAAGGCACTGTTAGCATCGTGAGTTGGCTAATCGCTTGTTGTGGGAGCTTCCTGGGAAGTGTACATCTTTACCAGCATTCTTGGCCTCTACCCACTACATGCCATTAGCACCCCACAGTTGTGACAATGTAAAAATGTTAGACATTGCCAAATGTCACCTGGGATATGTGTGTATGTGTGCAAAAAATCACTCCATGTTGAGAGCTGTAGTGCTAGGAGACAGCTTTGATGTTTCCTGGTTCATTTATTTGACACACCTGTGGCATTTATGGAGGAACATTTGAGGACACATTTAGTCATGTCTCGGTGCCCTGTATGTGAAACTAGGGCTGAGGAAGAACCCCCTCTTTTGAGGAACTGGGGTGGGTGATGTTTTTAGTGGGCCCCTTTTTGCCTGCAGCGCTGGGAACCTCAGCCAGTTCTTGAAAATATATTTTTGATTATGCGTTTTCTCTCTATTTAATGAGTGTCCATTGTAAAAAGTACAGATAAAGCAAAAAAGAATAAAAGCACCTGGAGTCTCACCACACAGAGGTAACCACCGTCATCACTGTGATTAATGTCCTTTTAAGTCTCCATGATGTATGCTTTGAAAGGACAATATAAATACGGGTTCATCTGCAAACACTTTCTTGGAGCTTTTTCACTTCATGGACTTGTCTCCCTTACTGGATGTCCCCTAAATATGTCTAGACACACTAGAATTATGTCTGCACCTGGTAAACCTGCAGCAGATATTTGGTGAATGAGTGAATTTTCCCATGACTCTTTCCTTGTCAACAGAGACAGCACAACTGGTTTTGAGACCTGGCTTTTATGGATGGCCCAGGGATGGCGACTAATGACAATGGCCATCCATTTTATGTGGATTATTTTACTTAGCTCCTCAGCAGCCGATGATGTAGGTGTTACTATTCCCATTTCACAGCTGAAGCAACTGGGGCCCTTGGAAATTAAGGAAACCTTGTCCAAGGCTTTAAGCTAGTAAACACCAGGCCCCCAGTTGTCTGCCTTCTGGCCCCTTTGGCCTTGACCTCTTTTTCTAAACTTTATCCTGAGTGTCCTGGTTATGTCTCTGCAAATTCTCTTTGGAAAGAGACAAGATAAATGTTTATATTGTATGTATAATACAATATTATAACTAGGCAGGGGGCAGTAGACTTACAGTGAATGTTAATTTTTGCCCCCTGCTTGCTCTTGTAGCAGACCCTGCTGGGTGCCAGAGGTCCAGAGATGACTCCCACTGGGGCCCCGAGACCAGGGGGCTTGTTGGCTGGAACTGGCCACCGCGCTGTCCCCTGCAGGAATCCAGGGTAACCCTAGACTCCTCTCAGCACACCTGCCTGTTTAATTTTCACAATTCCAAAACCACCCAGTGCTTGTCCCAGCCTTCCTGCCCATTGGATGGGCACAGGTGGTGATGGGCCAGGAACTGGCTTGTCCCATCATTCCCTGGACATGTTCTGTTATCTCTCTAAGCAGTGGCCGGGTAGTGCTTCTTGCCTGGAATTTCCTCCCCTGGCCACCTTTGTGAAACCACCCCCACCCAGCATTCTGTGGACTTGGCAAGGCAGCTTTCCCTTGGCCCTTCAGTGTCCTGTCTATAAAGTGGGGAAAAACCTATTAACAGCAGCATAACACTCGGGTTAGTGATGATGTGACAAATGGCTTGCTGGGGCCAGGTACCCAGAGCGTGTTCTGTAAATAATTGAGTGATGGAATAAATAGAGCCAGCAGTGACCCTAACACTTACCCGTGAAGTTGTCAAAATCCCCACTCAGGCAGCAGCTGGCCCTCGCACACCTTGGAACCCTTGCTCCGACTGCACAGTACCTGGCTTGGCACATAGTGGGTACTGAGCAGTTGCTGTTGGAACCGTCCAGAAGACAGCAGCAGGTGGATCCTGGCTCCCCTTCTTAGCGGCTCTGTGGCCCTGGTGGTGTTACTCATCCTCTCTGCTGCCACATGTTCCTATTGGAAAGTAAAGATGATGATTGTAGCCAACTTATAGGATGTGCCTGGACATTACAGAATTCCTGTTCATTTTTCAATAAATATTGTTTCAGTTGTTATTTTGATCCCCTCCTCCATGAGTGGGCTGCTCTGAGGGCCCATCCTTGGTCGGGAAAATCAAGACAGGAGGGTCCCAGCAGCACAAGGGTGGTGGCAGGTACCACTCAGCTGTCCTCACTTCTTTCCCGTTATTCTAACTAATTCCCCTGATGCAAACCCCTTCTGTTGGTGTTGGCCCCGCCACTCGCCTCCTGAGGATGGGAGACACACCTGCCTTTCTCGGGGGTTCCTTTCCCCATAGACCCTTTGCTGGTGGAGAAAACATGGAGTGGAAAGCCCTGGGCTGAGCTGTCAGAGCCAGGGGACAGCTGTGTGACCTTGGGCAAGCCACTGCCCATCTGGAGGCCTCCTCCCTTGGGTGGGAAATGCTAGGAAAAAGGAGGTGCTATGTGGACATGAGAGGAAGGAATATGGGGCTCTGGCCTGCTGCAGGGGCTTCTGCCCTAGGATATGTCTCCCATGTGCAGAAGACCTGGTTGCAAATCCTGCTCTCTCATTTGGTGAGTTGTGACCACGGGCCACAGGTGAGTACTATAATCTCTGAGCCTCAGTTTCTTCATCTGCAAGACAGAGGTAAAAATAGCACCTTCCTCATGGCATTTGTAGATTGGATTCAGTGAGTTAATCACTTAGCATAGTGCCAGGCATGTCGTAAGTGCTTAATAAATACTCCTTGATGTTTTCCGGGGCAATAAAGTGGAAACAGCTCATCCTGGGCTTGATGCCCCTCCCTTCTGGACCTGCCCTGGGCTTTGCACTTTCTCTGCTCACTTCTATTCCTGGCCCCTTATCTCAGTGATAAAGAGGATTGCTCTTGTCAGGTCCTAGATAACAGCTGGAAAAGCCTGGAAGCTGAATGGAGCAAAAGTACTTTCTACTCCTTGACCTTAGTCATCCCTGACCCAGCTACCGGGACTTGGGCCTGGGAGTCCAGTCCTGGGATCCTGGTGTTGGCTGTGACGTCACTTGTGTGTTGTTTTAAGAGGTATTTCTCAAGTGCTTACCACGGGCCAAGCGGTGCATCTAGTGGTGAATGAAACAGACACAGGCCGGCCAAGTGGAGCCAGTGGCTTGGGCTGGTGTGCAGACAGCTCCATAACAAGGGTTCCTGGTGCTGTGAGAAAGGTGTTGGGCTCTGAGATGACCCAGTGGGGGCCCTGTCCAGGTGTGTAAGGCTAGCAGAAGGAACCCCGAAAAGACTACGGTGGCTGGATTGCAGCAGACGAGTGCAGAGGGATGGTGGGTGATGGGAGGCGAGTCGAGACCTCAGGAAGGATTCTGATTTTCTGTTGTAGGAGAAATGAGAGGCCACTGAGTAGTTTGGGCCGAATGTTTACTCTGTCTCTGTGTGGTGATGAGTGTTCCATGTTGAAACTGTAACTGGCTGTGGTTTGCACAGTAGCTTGGGGACAATGGAGCAGAAGTGGCTCTTGTCCCCGTCCAGGCAAAAGCTGCTGGTGTCTTAGGGGACCAGGGCAGGGGCTGAGGGTGACCTGGGAGCTCAGGCCTCCAATTTTCGTCTTCACTTTTCCCCCTCTAAGTTTCTGGGGTCCCCTTGGCTGGCCCCACACTCTGTCCAGCCCTGCCATCGCCCATTGCTAGGGATGTTCTGGTATTGTGGCATTTTGGCTCAGGTGCCGGGACCTGCAGGGGTGACGGAGGTCAGGCCCTGAGGCCCCCTGGTGAGCAGGAGTGCCTCAGCTGGTTAGGACAGCCTGAATCAAATTCACACTCAGCCCTGTGCCTCCTTGCTGAGCGGGGGGCACCGAGAGCCGCTCTGAGAAGGGTCAGGGTCGATTCCTCACTACACCCCGGACCAGGCACCTAGTGGGTGCTCGGGATGCTGGGTGCTCGGGATGCATGTGGTGGATAAATGGGTGAGCTGTACTGACCAAATCTGAGTTGTCTCTGTGTCCCTTCAGTGTGGAATAAATGTGTGCTGGCTGCATGAATGAATGAATGACTTAGGAATGCCAGATCCTCAGAGGCCCCAGGTCCTGTGAGTGATAAGTGCCTCCCCCTGAGCCAGTGAAGGGTGCTCATGAACCAAAAAAAAAAAAAGTTTGTCCGGCGTCCCTGGATTATTTTTGGATCTAGTTGACCCAGGCTGATCTTTGGACAAGTCTGTTACCCAAGCCACATTCAGACGGCCTGACAGAGAACTCGGCCAGGGTCCAGGGACTTTGCTGGCATAGCAAAAACCATGGGGATGTATGGTCCTGAGGACCTATAGGACCTTTATTTCTGACACTGCCTGGGTGGGAACAGGGTGAGCTGGTAGCTGCGGCGTTTTCAGCTCCTGCCCTGGGTGGAACCCAGTGCTATGGGATGAAGTCTATTCCAGCGTTATTTATTGCATGTCTTGTCTAGCCCCTGATCCTTGGGGGGTGTCTGGAAGTCAGTTTGCCTTTGAATACCTGGCCTGCCTCGTGGAGTAACGTTCTGGAAGACCTTTACAATGTACTTAGAAAAACAGCACGGGAGGGGTGAGGAAAGGCAAGTGCTTTCAAGCCTCACAAAACCCCTGCAAGGGAACATGGTCTTACCCCCATTTTGGAAACAGAGGCCTGCAGAGTGTGTGGTAATGTGCCGAGGTCTCAGAGCAGGTGTGGGTTTCGGTCCTAGGCACATCTGCTTCCAGAGCCCGGGCTTTGTGCGCCCACCAGGAGCTTGGGGTCCAGGCTGAGGTGGGTGCCTGCCTCCTGGCTCCCAGCCCAACTCTCCTGACCATCACTCTCTGGCTCAAAGAGGGCATGGCTGGTTGTGGTGTGTGCTGCCTCTGAGGCCCAGAGGGACGCTGCTGGAATCCCAGGTGGCCCTGGGGGCGGGTGGTGGTGGTGGGGTAAGTGCTGCCCTCCCCTTTCTGGGCTGCTGTTGAGGCTGTGGCTGCTGGTATTTTCTGGCTTCCGTTCTTCCCCACCACAAGAGGTGCGGATCTGAATTTATGGAGCACATTTGTAGCTTTGCTTTATTACCTCTTCAGAGCTCCATAGTGACCCCGTAAGACAGTGTCACCATTTGACACAGGAGGAAACCAACTCCTAGACAGTGACTTGCCCAAGACTCCACAGCTAGTGGGGGGTTGAGGTAGCCCCACATTTCTCCCTTTGGTTAGAGGAAGGTGATGCCTGAGGAATGTGAATGGTTTCCTGGGTTGTGGGGGTGGGGAGAGAAGGCCCGCCTCCCTTTGCCCTTGGGGATCTTGGGTCACCTGGCCCTGCCTTCTCTCCCCCTCCTCAATTGCACCGGCCCCTTTCTGCTCCCCCGTCACTGCTTCCTGCTCTGGGCCCTGCACTTGCTCTTCTCTGGACTGGAACGTTTCTTTCCAGCTCTGCAAACCTCCACGTCTCCATCAGGGATCACCCTGTGACCCCCCTGGCTATAGCCCCAGCCTCCCCCTGACACGCTCATTTTCATGTTCCCTCTGTCATGCGTTTGTTTCTTGCTTGTGTCCCCCACCGGAGGTCAGCCGTGTGCAGCCAGAGGCCTTGCCATCCTGGCCGCCGCTTGAACTCCAGTGTCCAGCATGGTGTCCGAGGTGCAACAGGAGCTCATTAACCTGACAGAGTGAATGGAGGACCTGCCCTCCCAGGCCTGGGTTTTGTGTCCAGGTTTTGTTCTTCCAGGCTTTCCAGGCTGGGGCTTGGAGCTTCCAGACCCCTTCCTTGTGCAAAAGAAAAAAGTGCCCCTGACCCTGAGCCAGCTCGTTTGTTCTCCTGCTGGGTGTAAACAACCTTACAGAACTCCAGCCTCTGCCAGGGTCACTCTGGGACCAGGAGGAAAAGGGATGCCACAAGTCCCCTTCATCATTTTGTCTAAGTACAGACAAAAACAGTGTCACTGTACCACTGCCAGAGTGTCAGACATCCACTTCTTTGGCTCAGTGAGGGGACTAATGACATTTTACCCAATCAGAGAATTGCCCCCATGTCCTGACAGCATCCAATCCGGAGCAGACCCCGGCTTCCTTAAATCCTCCCCAAATCACTCAACCAAACCATGTCCTATGGCAGTTTCTTCCCAACACCCTCTTTCTGCGAGGCCTGTTGGTCCCCCAGGTGTGTGTTCTCCCTCCTAAAGGACGTGCCCACCCACACCCAGGTGTGTTCCCACTGGTCTCTGGCTGTTGGGCATTGACACCAGAGAGAGACGATAATCTGGGTGTTTATGGACTCAAATCCAGGTTTGTCCTGGTTTTGATTATGAACTAGTCTTTTTTTTCTTGTAGGACCCAAATTACCTTATTTCTATAATGGGCCACTGCAGAGGCCACCTAGCATTCACTGGAGGCCTCATCCGGTCTGATAAGCCCGATGGGCCTTGGGCGGCCTTTGCCATCTGTATTGTGCTCACTTACACATAAGGAAGCAGGCCTGGAGGAGAAGCCTTGCAGCTGGGGCCCCAAGTCTGCAGTGGCTGACTCTGAAGTCCTGGCTCTCACCCGCCCATCCTCCCCCCATTCGGCCCCCAGGCACTAGTTAGCAGTGGGAACTTGGGTTTTGGACCCCAGTTCTGTAGTTGCTCTGGATTTCAGGATTCTGGACCAATCCAGGACCCCTCATTGGAGGCAGAGGGGCTGGGCCTGGTGGTGTCTACTGCTGACCTGTCTGACTTTGTTCTCCACCCTTGTACCCCAGGCTGCGGTGGAAGCACACCTCCTCCCTGAAGGTGGCCAACGAGCCAGTCTTGGCCTTCACACAGGGCAGCCCCGAGCGAGATGCATTACAGAAGGTAACAGGAGGGTGGGGTGCACCCAGCAGGCATAGGGCATGAAACAGAGAAAGCCTTCAGTGGCCCCAAAGATACCTCTCCACACCTACAGCTGTCCCCTGCTCCTGCCATGCCCTCAGCCTTGGAAGGAAATCAGGGGCCTGGGGAGAGCTGTGCATTTAGATGGGAGGCTGGGAGCAGCAGGATTGCAACCTGGGCCACTTTGGGGCCTCCAGCCAGGTTGGAGTCATCAGTCTTCAAATGTTTTATGCTTAAAAACATTCTCCCATTAGTTAGATGAATGAATGAATTAAAATCATCATATTTTAAAAATTACAGCATTTCACAAATTTCAGATGCAGTTTAAAAATTTTTTTGTATTGGGAGGACCTGGCAACACTGGGCTCGCATTCCTGAAGGACAGCAAGTGAAGTGGACAGGGCCTGAGTCCTGCTCCACAGCCCCACCCGGAGCACATGCTTTCTGACCTCAAACTGGCCCCCTTCTCGTTTCTCTGTTCTCGCTTGGGCGTCTGCATTTGCAGACTCCCCGTTTGGAATTTAGGCAGGGCAGAGAGGGGAAGGGAGTGTCCGTCTGCCCTCTTGTCCTCTCCCCAGGCCTTGAAGGACTTGAAGGGCCGGACAGAAGCCATCCCTTGCGTGGTGGGGGACGAAGAGGTGTGGACCTCGGATGTACAGTACCAGGTGTCGGTAAGTCCACTGGGTGGGTAGGGCTCACCCTCCGCCTTGAACCCGGGGTCTGTCTCGGGCAGTCTATCAGCATCTAATGTGGGGTCCCTGCTTCCAAAGGGGTTTTTAGTCACTCCCAGGCTTTTAATTCAATTCACTGGTATAAAACTTCCAAAGGCAACCTGGGGGCTATCATCAAAGTGCCCCCTTGACACCTGCCAAGAGGAAGTTAAAAATGACTGCCGTCAGCTTCGTCATCTCATCAGTAAAGTTAAACTGTTGACCACTGGAAGGACAGTCCCCAAAGCCCTGGTCTGTATTTGAGAACCACTGGTCTAGCCAGTGGTGAGCTCAGCTGAAGTAGGTACCCAGGGTGAGCCAGGTGTCACCGCCTCCTAGAAGCCCTCCTGTTGGAGCTGGGCTCCTTCCACAGGCATATCTGAGAGGCCCTGTCGCAGCTGCACAAGCCCTCCTTCAGGCCCTGTCCCTCCCCTCTGAGGTAGGAAGAGCAGTAAGCAGCTGCCCATTTTAGAGATCTCAGGACAAGCTTAGATACTGAAATGACCTGCCTGGGGTGACGCCGTCAGATATGGAGCAGGGATGGTAGATCCACGTTCTCCAGAACCATAGTCCATTGATTTTGACTCAAGTGAATTCATGTATACTGTTTTTCTGAAGAGGATTTAGAAGCAGCATGTTTATTCGTATACAGTGCAGCAAGACCTGCTAGTCACAAAATGACAATCATGACATTCTAGGCTGTTTCTGGAGACAGCCACAGCCTTGCCTTTAAGTCTCCTGGTGGCCACGGAGAAGAGGAGAACACATCGCTCACATAAGGCAGAGGGTTCTTGAAATCAGTTCCACCTGCATGGTCGGAGAAACACAGCCATCCCTGATCCTGGGCCCAGAGAGAGATTCTCCCAAGGGTGTCAGAAGGACAGTGATGTGACCAGCGGGATGCCCAGAAAAGTCACACCTCTCATGCACGGATGTTTCATGGCTGCTTTTCGCACACCCTCACTCTGGGCCAAGGATGTCATCAAAGTCGCATGCCTGGGGACGCCAAGAGGGCCACCCTGCAGGCCCCATCTGCTGCTGGGCTGGGTTGTCCATCTGGAGCTCAGATTGCAAACTGACAGACTATAGCCGCCACATGGTTAGAACACAGCAGAGGGGCCACACTGCCCAGCGGCCTGCATCCTGCTGCCCCCCAGTACAGTTTCCAGCTCCCTCCGCCTGCCCAGCTCTGTTGCCTCTCTGGCCCTTGCAGGCCTTTTGGGTTGCAGGCCGGCCAGAGCAGTGGCCAGTCTGCTTGTCCCTCAGCCACCCTCCTTAAGCCTTCTGCCGGCAGGGCTTTTGCTAACTATGCGACCTCTGTGAGGTCGGCTCGCCCTTCTCAGCAAGTCGCTGGAAGGCTTTTGGTTTGTTGACGGCTAAGAAGCATCACCCACTTCTGCGCCCCGAGTGTTGGTTTGAGGGTGCGAGTGCCGTCCTTCTGTGACAGTTGGTATGATGAGGATTCATGGCCGAATGGAAGTCTGCAATGTGCCCCCACAAGGTGGCCTGAGGGGGGACCCCCTTGATCTGCTCCCACCCCAGGCAGAGGACCCCTCCCATCCCTTTATGTCCCTTGTGTGGCTGTGACAGTTTTAGCTCAGGAAAACTTAAATACCCACTTCAGTGATGAACAGAAGCAAAACGTGTGTGTGTGATGTGCCCCCACAAGGTGGCCTGAGGGGGGACCCCCTTGATCTGCTCCCACCCCAGGCAGAGGACCCCTCCCATCCCTTTATGTCCCTTGTGTGGCTGTGACAGTTTTAGCTCAGGAAAACTTAAATACCCACTTCAGTGATGAACAGAAGCAAAACGTGTGTGTGTGTGAGTGATGTGTGTGTACGTGTACACAAACATATTTTGAAACTCCATGTATATGGATTTATGTGGAGTTTCTAGCTTTGTGCAAAACAACCGCTGCAAAGCGATGCCATGGTATATAAATGAGGTGGCTTCCTCTGTGGCCGTGTTAGCTAGAGACCTGTGTGAAGGTAGAAGACGGCTCCCAAAGGGGCTCCCCTGCCGGGCAGGGTCTGCAGGCGTGGAGTTCCTTCCCACTTCCCAGGGGCAGCAAGAGGCTCAGTGAGCTGCAGAACAGAGGCAGCCAGTGGGCCTGGAGGATCTGGGGTGGAGAGCTTGTGGCCACAACACCCTGGGCTCTTGTGGCCATGGTTAAGGACCCTCTTCGAGAGCACTGGGGAGCCATGGGAGGGCTGAAGGAAGGTGAGACTTCCCAGAAGAGCCCTGTTGCTTGTTACAGGGCAACCAGGGAGTTTGGGATGGGAAGTGGGGGCGGGCCACGGAGGAGGCTTTGTGGAGGAAGCCACGAGAAGAGCCAGAACAAAGTCCTAAGGATCCCAGCCCGAGGTGGCATGCGGCGGGCCTCCGTGGATGGTCTGCCCAAGCTGCCGAGCTCCTCACCTGCCCCGACACTGGGCGCTGGGGCCTGTGAACTACAGGCACAGCTCCCCGAGGCCGCGCACCGGACCCCAGTCGGGCCGGTCGGATTTCCTGCCCTGAACTCAGCACCATCAGCAAGCCGCTTGCTTGCGGGGCTGGGTGCTGTGGAGACCTCTGTGGGACCAGAAAGGCAAAGGAAGTGGGTCTCCTGAAAGATGCACATGCTGATTCTCAGAGGAGGGAGATGAAGAGAGAAGCCTCCGAGTTTCTTCCTAAGCCCCAGCCTAGTTGCCGTAAGGAGGCCCCTCGCCGCCCGCCTGCTGGTTGTGTGTCTGGGCTGCTTGCCCTTCCTGTGCCTCCGCTTTCTCCTTGTAAAGTGGGGGTTGCAGTCAGGCTCTAGGGTGATTGTCAGACTTCAGTGGATTAATCTGTGTCAAGCACTTAGTGCCTGAGCACAGGAAACTGAACATGAGCATAGTAGGGCCTGCTGAAGAGAGAACTAGGTAAAAGAACAAATTAAAAAGAAGCAAGGAGCACGTGTCTGTTGTAACCCCTGGACGTTATTCACAGTGATGTCAGGGGACTTTCAGTAACCCGCCCTGGTTCTCATCCAGGTGTGGTGTGGGCCTTGGGGTTACCACTAGCCAGACAGCCACCCCGGCCCCGGCCCAGATCTGAGTCCTGCCTACAGGCGAGAGGGATCCCGAGAGTCCACACAGCGTCTTCTGTTTTCCTGTTGGATTTCTCCACAAGGGGGTTTAGGGACTAATGGTGGGCTAAGCTGGCTCCAATTCCGAGGTGACATTGGCTTGAGAACCCACCTGCCCGGAGTGGATCCAGCCAGGAATTGTTTTGCACTTTTGGTGGACCAGGAAACTCTTGGGTGTATAATTTGGAGGAGAGTAAGGGGTGGCCCTTTGGCAGACTAGGTGAGCACTTTCCAGCTCTGTCCAGATGGAGCCCTGAGCAGGTGTGTGCCAGGGTAGGGTGAGGACCCAGGGACCCCACTCTGAGGGTTTTGCAGATGGCCTGGGGCAGGAGTCACCCATGGAGGCATCCTGGAGGCCCTGCTCCTGGGCCGGTGACCAGAGCACCAGAGCACAGGCTTCGGGCCAGGTCACTCGGCTCCGTGGCTCTACGCCAGGTGTGTGCCCAGGTGCCAGCCGAGAGCAGCTCCCACGACCTTGCTCACTGGGTCTGGGCTCTATAGCTCCTGAGAACCTGCCCCTGCCTGCAGCTCTCAAGGCCGCCATGGCATCTGGGGTTTCTCCGGGCAACTGGGATTTTGATAACCCCCAGGTGGGCACCTCTGGTGTTCATTTCCCATCCTGCCTCACTGACCTGGCCTTATTGGAACCCAGGAGCTACATTGTGGGGATGCAGTGCTGATTTGGGGTGACTAGTCCCCCTGGGACCGTCTGAACTGAAGGGCCTGGGTCCCAGCCGCCTTTTTGGCCCCTGAGTGTTGTCACAGGCCATCCAGGTATGCACAGGATACAGGTGACCTCCAGAAGTTACAGTGAAGGGGAAGGGCCAAGTTCTACTTCAGCCTAAGTGTTCCACCAACACTTTCTGTGATGACAATGATGGAAACGTTCTGTATCCACACTGCCCATGATGGCAGCCACCAGCTGCACATGGTCATCAGCACATGATGTGGCCAGTGCAGCTGACAAACCAAACTTGAATGTCAGCGGGCATCTGGGGCTAGTGGCTGATACCTTAGAGGAAAGTCCCAAAGGTCCATTTGCAGACTGATTGGCAAAAGTATTGATGATTATGGTATAAAGTATATCACCAGCCCAGGGTTGGGAAAGAAGGGGGATTCTCCCCACTTTAGTGCTCATGCTAGTACCCAGCTCTGCTAGATTCTCCTGGTGAATGTTTGTTGAGGACAAGTGAGCCTGGGTCCCCTGCAAGGGTCTCAAGAAACAATTACCTGGTTCTCTAGGGACTTGGAGGCAGGGCAGAAATCCTGAGCATTTCACAACACCAGCTTACTGTTCTGGGCCTTCCATGGTGACAGCACCCATTTCTGAGCCCAGCCTCATGACAGACCCAGTTTGGAAGAATTTTCTGGTGACCCCATTTGATCTGCCTCTCCATGCCAGGAGGCAGAGAAGCCCCCGGTTCCCAGGTGGGAGGCTCGGAGAAGGAAAGTAAGTTTACGTAAGGCCCTACAGCTTGTAGGCAGCAGAGCTGGAGTTTTAACCCGTGTCTGTGACCACAAAGTCCACACTTGCCCTGGACTGTGAACATTCTGGAGTGGGAACAATGTATTCATCCAGCAGCAGGTGGGCCTTGATGCTCAGGCAGGAGAGATTGGCCGGGGCTGGGTGACTGCAGAGGGCTTCGTGGGGACTGAAGGGCAGAGGGTGGTGTGCTGAGGACCCCTGCCCTGGAAGCAAGCTCTGAGCCCTGCCCGCCTCTCTCTTGGGCAGTGACCTCACTCCTCTCTTTCAGCCCTACAACCATGGACACAAAGTGGCCAAGTTCTGCTATGCAGACCAGGTGAGTCCCTGATGGCGATGGGCCTGAGGTGCTGCCCCATTCTGCCCCACTGGCAGCTGACATGGAGGCAGACGTCAGTCGCTGCTTCCCTGTCTGGCCATGGTGGGTGGGGTGTAGTTGGGACAGCAGCACTGGGGGAGTCCCTGGGCAGTGTCTTCAGCAGGGCCAGGCACGCAAGGGTTAACGTGAGCCAAGTGAGAGCTGTGTAGGCCAGGCTGGGACATCCCTTGACATGCCTCTTGCCGAGAGGCAGACCCTGGTTTGAGAATGGGGAGTAGATTCTAGAAGGCTGAGTCAGGCAAATTGGAGACATTGTGGTTGGAATGCTAGACAGGGAATTGGCATGGGGGGCCAGCGAGAGGGGATGGGGTGACCTATGGTAGAGGGTTTAGGCGTTGGTGTCACTGACAGTGAGGGCAGTTGGCATCTGGGATGCCAGCAGCAGATGCATGTCTCAGTCTGCTTCTGGCCCAGCAAGGGCAAGGCCAGACTCCCTGACCTTGAAGGGTGGAGGCTCTGGGTGGTGGTTCAAGTGGCCCAGGAATAAGGCGAGGCCCAGGTGAGACCATGACAGAAAATGGAGCAGGTTTAACAGTGCTGAGTCCTTGGCATGCCGACCTATCTGTCAAGTCCCTCAGACATCTCCAGACTGGCAGCAGGATAGGCCTCGAGCCTGGGGTGGCCCAGCTGGTGATGGCACACAGTGTCTCCAGCTTTGGGGAGGAGGGGGCCTGAGGCCTCAGGGTGCCAGGAGTCTTCTCTGGGTGGAGAGGAGCCTCCAGATTTCTTTTCCATGGCTCTTTCCCCTGGTACCCTTCCTGTTACAGGAAGAGGCCCCCAACCTTTTCCTCTTCATTAGGCCCTGCTCAGCAAAGCTATTGAGGCAGCCTTGGCTGCCAGAAAAGAGTGGGACCTGAAGCCTGTCACAGACCGGGCCCAGATCTTCCTGAAGGCCGCAGATCTGCTGAGCGGGCCACGCAGAGCAGAGGTTCTGGCCAAGACCATGGTGGGGCAGGTGAGGTGCCTGTGGGCATGGGTGGGGTCGGGTGGAAGCAGTTGTTCAGTTTGTCAGACAACAGCTGAGCAGCGTTTGGGTGCCAAGGCCTGCTCCGCATGCCGGAGACTGGGAGGTGTCCTTGTGGGGTGAGGCATAGAAGGGACAGTTTGCAAGAGGGGCCAGGTGGACCTAAATTATCAGACAATGCCAAGCCTGCGTGTCCTGCCACGGGAACATCTCCTCTTCCCTGTTCCCACCTGGGCCAGGGCTTTCCTTTGCCTGGACTGACAGTTGCCCTGAGCAGTCCTCTGGGCTCAGTCAGACCTCTGCAGCCTGCAGAGGTCTTTTGACACCCCAGGCGGTCACTCCAGATCTCTCTGTCACTGAGAGCCACACCACAGTTCCAAGCCCAACACCCAGGGCACTTGGCTTCCGGCCTCTGTCCAGCTTGCCAGCTGCCCGGCTCTTCCTGCCAGGTATCCCACCCACGATGTTGCCAGAATGGGCTTAGCAAGACTCCTGACACCACAGGCATCTGTCTCCCTGCCTCTGCCCCTGTGTTCTCCTCCTGGAATCTCTCTCCTCTGCTCCTTGACTCTTAGCTGTCAAGGTGCAGCCCAGATATCACCACCTCTGTGAGGCTTCTAGAACCTTCTCTATCCAAAAGGATCAGTCCTGCCTCTGTGCTCCTGTAGCATGCTATTCATTTGTCAGTTACAGCTCAGATCACTTGGGGTATAACGAGATCCTATGTGTTCATCACCCCTTTACAAGCTTTTTGGGGATAATAATTACATGTTAATGTTGTTCGTCTTTCTGGGCCTCATACATGTCTTTCTGGAGTCATAGAGGCTCCTGATAGACATCTTTGAGTGAGTGCATGTTGAGCCAGAGGGGTACTAGCAGCTCAGAGTGTGGGGAAACGAGCAGAGGAAAAAAGAGTTCCCTTCACCTTCCCAGAAAGGAGCCTTAGGGGCTCAGCCCAGCGCTCTTCCTGCTGCGGTGGGAGCCCCCTCTGCTGCACAGAGTGGGGATGACAGCTGCGCCCCACCAAGTGTCTCCTGGTTGTCTATGCAGCCCCCGGGGTGGGTGTCCGGCTCCAGGGTGTTCTGGGTGAGCCCCACATGGCAGGAAGAGACACATACACCCTAAAACCAGATTAAGGTGTCTCTTTATTTGACTAAGGACTCAGGAGCTTGTAAGAAGCACAGTCGCTTTGCAGGGCAGGAGGCAGGACACCTTAGCACAGCTTCCCTGGCTCCACGTCCCAAGCAGGGTGAGCAGCCAGGGACCCTTGTGCCAAGGAGGAGCCGCCCCGATCTGGAAGAGCCCCACCAGCTGCCTTTCCCATGGCTGGCATTCACCGCCAGGAGGAAGAGGCAGCCTAAGGACATCCTGAGCTGCTGGCCGCCTGGTTCTTGGCCCAGCTGCCCCTAGTGAGGGCATGTGCTCACCCTGGGGGTGGAGCTGCCAGCGCCCTCAACGTGATGTCTCCATGGGTGCGGGTCCCGTGCTGGAAGGGGGCTAGTGGGAGGCGCGTCTACCGCCTGAGCCCCCCGGCCCCCTGCCTTGCAGGGTAAGACAGTGATGCAGGCGGAGATCGATGCTGCGGCTGAGCTCATTGACTTCTTCCGATTCAATGCTAAGTTCGCCCTGGAGCTGGAGGGGGAGCAGCCCATCAGCGTGCCGCCCAGCACCAACAGCGTGGTGTACCGGGGGCTGGAGGTACCCACAGGTGGTGGGGTGGGCGGGTGCTGCCGGAAGCCTTGGCCTATGCCTCACCGTCTCCTCTCCCCAGGGCTTCGTGGCAGCCATCTCCCCCTTTAACTTCACTGCGATTGGTGGCAACCTCGCTGGGGCACCGGCCTTGATGGTAAGATGTGGGCAGGGCGTGGGCATGGCTGGAGCTAGCCACTGTTGCCATCTCAACAGACAAAAGACCACAACAGCCCCTCAGGTCCCAGCCCTAGTTGTGGGGAGAAGCCCAGAAGGCAGAGGCAGTGTGGGGCCGTGGGAAGGCTTTGGAGTCAGACTCGTTGGAATCCCAGCTTTGTCCTGCCCTGGGTGACCCCGGGCAAGCCCCTGAACTTCTCTAACGCAGTTTCCTCATCTGCAAAGTGGAAATAACAGAAAAGCTTACAGTACAGGGTTGTGAGCAGCAAGTGAAGTATGCATGAACCTTCTAATGCCAGCTGCTCTGGCCCAGTGTAGCTTAGTAGATGGTATTAGTAAACATGGTAATTGTTTACTAACAGTTACTTTCGAGTGCTTATCAGGTGCCCTCTGACTTATCTGTCAAGAGTCACACAGCTAATAAATGATGGGACAGATGAGGATTCGGACTCCACTGCTGGTGAAGGTGGCCATCGCCCCCAGGAGTTCCCAGTCCAGTGGGGGCAATGCAGCCCTGCTCTGGGCGTGCCTGAGTGGCTCATGGAGTGGCAGGAGGAGGACTGCCAGTGGACGGGGCCTGGGACCAATGGGGGCAGCTGGGTGTCTGCAAGGATGCTGCTGCACAGGGCCATCTTCATGCATTTGTGCACAGACAGGCCCACACCTGGGCATCCACGTGCCCTCACCCAGGACATGTGCAGACCAGCCCTGTGAGGACTTGCCCAGCCACGCCCAGTGACTTGGAAACACCCAGAACAGAGCTGCCCCCAGGTGCTGGCAGGACCAGTCAGCACAGGCTTCCCAAGGAAGGGAGCTGTGGCCAGAGCGGGAGCAGACAGGCAGGGTATTGGCTTGTTGACAAGGGCTTTTAGAGCCCAGTGTCCAGCACCTGGAGGCGTGGGGCTGGGCAGGGGACATCCTGGCCTGCACACGGGCCTGATGCTTCGGGGTGGGGTGGGAGTGGAGCAGTGGTCCCTGGCCTCATGAATCATCCCCATGCCTCCCAACCAGGGCAATGTGGTCTTATGGAAACCCAGTGACACTGCTATGCTGGCCAGCTACGTTGTCTACCGTGTCCTCCGGGAAGCTGGCCTGCCCCCCAACATCATCCAGTTTGTGCCAGCTGATGGGCCCACATTTGGGAACACCGTCACCAGCTCAGAGTGCCTCTGCGGCATCAATTTCACAGGCAGTGTGCCGTAAGTCCCTGAGATGGGGTGGGGTGGGTGGCATAGGGACATTCACCCGGCAACTGCCTCGTCACCATTGTCTTCCATGGCTCCTGTCATCTTCCAGATAAAGTCTGGGGTGGTGAACTCAGAGATCAGGCACCAACTGTAACTACATCCACTTACTTGCTGTGTGGCCATGGGTGGGCCAGCTTACCTCTCTGAGCCTCCGTTTCTTCACCTGTACAATGGGAATGATGATACCTACCTTGCAGAGCAATTGCAAGGATCCAGTGAGTTAATGAGCAGGAAAGAGCCTCATAGGCTGCAAGCAGCCTACAGATGGATGGCAATACTGATCTTGGTGCCACCTCTAAAAAGGGACAAGAGAGCTTGGAATGAATTGGAGGAGGAGAGTCAGGAAGGCTTCTTGGAGGAGGTAGCATCTCAATGAAGCAGTTAGCCAAAGAGGGGTGGGGAGAATGTTCTAGGAACAGGAACAGCACATGCAGAAGCCTCAAGGCTGGTTCTTGTGCTGTGGGAGGTGGTGTGGTTCCTCATGGCTGGAGTGGAGTTTGTGGGCCCAGGGTAGGAGGGTGGGAGCAGGCCTTGGGTTGATCATGACCACTCATTGATTCACTCACTCAGCAAGCGTTTATCCAGTGAATGTGCAGTGTGGCCCCACCTGTCGGGACTTAGGCTGGTGACTGTGGGCGCTATGATCTGCAAACAAACGTGTCTGGACTACCTGTAAGATGAACGGAGCCACAGAATATTTTAGGTGGGGGGAGTAGAGTAGCTGATTCAGAGTTCTGTTTCAAGCAGATACTGCAAATGGTAGCTCTCCAGTTGGACCTGGCAAGTGGCTGCTTTTTTTTTTTTTTAACTCCTAATAGGGACAGATCAGCCTTGTACAGTTTAGAGAGTATATATAAAAGATAAAATCTTTTTTTGAGATTTCAAGCTGTTTTGAGAACCTGGTCCCTCTGGTCCTGCATTTCTACATGGCACCACTGGCTGAAGGTGAGCGGGTGCCGTCCGATTTCCCACCACCCCACCAGGCCCTGGGTCTCTGCGCGTCTAGTCAGCCTCCTCTGCTCCCTGCCTGGCCCCTCTGAGCTCTGTTTCCACTTTCTCCTAGGTGACCGTCTGGCTGCTCTGCACGTAAATTGCTAGTAGGCAGAAACAGACTGGTTAGGAGGCTGTCCACATCCAGGGAGGGATGACAAAGGCCCGAACTGGGGTAGAGACAGAGGGAATGGAGAGAAGTGGGCCGATTCGAATGAGCAAGTAGGGAGACTCAGTCACCTGTCCGTAGGGTTGGATCAGTTGGTGGAAGGGTGTCAGTGCGAATGTCCAGAGTCGGGGCAGAAAGGGCATCGTTCCAAGGTGGGTATCCAGAAGGCTTGAGCAGAGGTGATGAGTCACATGCTGGTCACTCTGAGTTAGGGGTGCCTGAGGGTCATCTGGTGGAGATGCACTTGGGGTCCTTCTAGTTGTCCTTGGGGATACCTGTGGTGGCTTCTTGCCTTCCCGCCTGGCCTCAGCCTCCCCTATCCCTGCTTCCTGCTAAGGTTTGCCAGGTAATGATGGCAGCATTAGAATTGCTGAGGGGACTGTTTTCCAAAAGGCCCACTCTGCCAGCCGTGGGCCCCACGGGTCCCTGCCTATTAGCGGGCAGAGCGGGCCTGGCCCCCATTTGCCATGCTCTGATGAGCAGCAGCTTAAAGGTAGGAAAGTCATAAATTAGTATTAGCTACTGTGTCGCTGGCTCCCTGGTGATTAGCATTTTTATTGTTTTGTGGTGCTGAGGTTGGTCACACTTGGAGCCCAGGGAGGAGGTGGGGGCCTGAGCTCCCTTTCCCAGTACCCTTCTCAGTTTGGACTCTGGAGCCTGGGCGCTGGGCTAGGGGTGCACCTCACACCATGGCAGCAGCTGTACCCCTCAGGCACCTGCACTGTGCCCAGCACTGTCTGAAGCACTTGACTCACATTAGCCCTATCACAGAACAGCTCTGCTAGGTGGGATTCATCTCCAGTTCCCTGATGAGGTGCAGAATTTGAGGCTCAGAGAGGTTAAGTAATGAGCATAAGACCACACAGCCAGGAGTGTCTGAGTTAAGACTGAAACCCAGTACCCTTCAGCCTTCTCTGCATTGCTGCTAAGCCTCCCCATGCTCCCTCCCCACAGACCCTGAAAGCAGCCTGGGTTGCCACCACCTATGCAGCCCCACCCCTCCACCTCCTGTTGGGCTGCTGCCTCTGGTACTCCTGGGCCTTTTGGCCCCTTCCTCTGGTAGGGCCCCTCCCCACCCCCAGGACCCTCACCTGTGCCCAGCTCCCTGATCCCCACCTTGTCCTCTGGTTTCAGCACCTTCAAACACCTGTGGAAGCAGGTAGCCCAGAACCTGGACCGGTTCCACACCTTCCCACGCCTGGCTGGAGGTAAGGGCTCCTCCCCCTGTCCCATCCGCTGTGGCCCCAGGGACCCCTCCCCTGGCCTCCCTGAAAGAGGGAAAGGCAGAGGTGATGCCCCCATACATGGGGTGGCCCCTCAGGAGCTGAGAACCTGGGGCCTTTGGGGCAGAGCCTCTGCTTGGGCAGGTTCTGGGGTTGTGCAGAGCATGTAAGCCTCCAAGTGTCCACTTTTACATTCATTCATTCATTCATTCATTTGTCAGTCATTCAGCAAATAAACTATTATGTGTCCATGTAGGTACTTTCTGGACACTGGGGAAACAATGAGGGGGGGCACACAAACCCAGCCCCATGCACTTCCAGTAACGGGGGCAGACAGGGAATAGATAGCTGATGCCGGGTAGTGACTGGGTGCAGAGAATGAAAGGAGGGAGAAGAGGCAGCACGCAAAGGCGTGGGCGTGGGCGTGCCCCGCGGTGGCACGGTGGGGCCCTACAAGGTGGGAATGTTGGATCCGAGACCTGAGCAATGAAGGGAAGCCAGCCTCAGAGACCCTGCTGGGGCGAGGGGTGGTGAGCCATCGTGAGCACCAAGGCTGTGCAATAGAACTTTCTGCAGCAATGGGAATGTTCTGTGTTTGGGCTGGCCAGTCTGGCAGCCACCAGCCACGTGTGACTACGGAGCACTTGAAATGTGGCTGGTGTGACTGAGGAAGTGAGTTTTTTGTTTTGTTTCCTTGTAATTAATTTGAATTTAGGTAGCCACATGTGACTGGTGGCTAGTGTGGCACAGCCCAGTCTAGTCAGAGGAAACTACAGGTAAGGAGGCCATGGGTGGGATGAGCCTGTATTTGAAGAAACAAGGCCATCGTAGCTGGAGTAGGGAGGGAGGGCGGTGGCAGGAGACGGGGCTGAGAGGCTGGCAGGGCTACATAATGCTGAAAAGTTAGTAATTTTCCCACAAAGGAACAGTTTCATAGTCAAGGAAATTTAGCATAGGCTGTGTTAAAGCAAAACAGGTTCCTTGTCTGCAGAACATCTCCGAGCCTTTAATGCTCTAATATGCATTGCATTTCTTTAATAGCCAGGTCTGACATGTTTCCCAAACCTTTTGGGCCACAGAGCACCATTTTTGTGGAGGCCCCCATGGATCAAGTTTTTTGTAGGGTGCACTTTGGGAAAGTGCTGAGACCCTGAGAAAGGGGGATCTGTCCAGGGTCGCACAGCACAGTAACTGCAGAGCTGAGGCTGGTGGTTCAGGATTCTTGCTCCTGGGGCTGCAGTGGGACCCCAAGGGGAGAGCAGGCGGGATATTTGTTGGGGGTGTCAGGGTGGGTGACCCCGCAGGGCTGGTGTAGCATCTCTACCCTTGAGCCCCCAGTGCACCCCATCCCCACCTTTACAAGATGGCCCAGTGAGCCCCCTCAGTGAGTCTGTGGTTTTCTGCTCAGTCTCTTTCCCACTGTCTCCCTGAGGGCCAGAGACCACCGCTTCCTCTACCACGTCCCAGTATCGAGCACACAGCTTAGTCCCTCTGAGCCTCAGTTTTCTGGTCTTTAATATGGGAATACTAATGTGAGGTGTTGTGAGGCCTCAGTGAGACAGCTTGCAGTGCTTTGAACGGAGTCCGGCAGGTGGTAGGGAGGGGCTTTGCCACCGCGAGCTGCTGTAAGCTGCCGCTGTCTGATGTTTCACTGGTGCAGACTCCCAGGCCTGGAGGGTGGAGGCTGCCTGAGGCTCCTCACAGCAGGGAGTTGGGAGTGTTTTCCGCTGCGCAGGCAGGGGAGGGGGCCGGCCTGGCAGACAGGGTGGGCCCCGTCCTGCTGGGTGAGTGGGGTCAGGAGGGCTCAAGAAAAGCTGTGCCCACTTCCAGAAATGGGCTGGCCCCCAGGAGTTGGTCCTGATGACCCCTGGCCTGGTGCCCTTCCCCCTTCCCCCGGCCTCAGTGCTCTCATCTGTAAAGTGGGAGAATCAGCCCAGCTCATGGGCTTCTGGGTGCCTCCTCCCACCTCATCTGCCCAGTATCGGGCTGATCACAGGGCCTGGGCTGGCCAGGGACACCCGTTCCCCCAGTCACCACGCCCCACTACCTGCCCCTTTAGAGTGTGGTGGGAAGAACTTCCACTTTGTGCATGGCTCAGCCGACGTGGACAGCGTGGTAAGCGGGACCCTGCGCTCAGCCTTCGAGTACGGTGGCCAGAAGTGCTCAGCCTGCTCCCGCCTCTATGTGCCGCACTCGCTGTGGCCGCAGATCAAAGGGCGGCTGCTGGAGGAGCATGGCAGGATCAAAGTGGGCGACGTGAGTGGTGCCTTCATCCCCGCCACGGCCCAGCGGGTGGCTGATGGGATTGGAGCTCCGGTGCGGGTGGCGGGGCTGGGGTGTGTGGAGACAGGGCTCCCTTTGTCTTGGGCCTGTGGCGGCTCAGCCTCTTCTGGTGTCTCCCTTGCTTCCAGCCTGCAGAGGATTTTGGGACCTTCTTCTCTGCAGTGATTGATGCCAAGGTATGGGCAGGAAGTAGGGCTCTCCTCGGGGCCAAGCTCTGGACTCAGGGAGAGGGAGGAGGAGATATAGGGGGCCGTGACTGGGGGCTGACCCAGCCCTACTGCATGGAGCAAGGCAGCCCCATAACCACACATACACCCCCCACCCCCAGCTCTGAAAAGGGCAGAGCCATCCATAACCAGAGAACTGGCCTCCCACACACCCTGCAGCCAGACTCAGTGAGCCCTGTTTAAGTGCATGTGTTCGTATGCACACACAGATAGGCCTGCACATGCATAAACCTAAACATACATGCATGTGTACATGCATATCCACAGCCATGTGGCCCTCCATGTGGGCGTGTGTGTAGGTCTAGCCACATAAACATCCATGTGCACATAGGATCTCAATATGTAAATAAAATGTGTACAAATACATGCTCAGATGTATATATAGGCCATATAAATCTACATAAACATATACCACAGGCATACATGTGTCCACATTCTTAAACATAAAGACATGGCCATGTATATGCGTATACATGCATTTATATGCATTTATATTTATGCATTAGGTTTGTATAGCTGTGGTTCTAAGATACACACACAGTACACATGAACATGTGCCTCTGTCCTTGTCTCCACAGTGACTCAGCCAGACCCTGGTTTTGCCCTCAGTACCCACCTACCACCCCACTCCCCACTTCAGAATTTGGGCCCTTCAGGGACAAGTGTTTTGGGTGCATGTGTGTGTACGGGTGGGGCGTCCAGCAGGGGCGGCCTGCTGCTAGGAACGGTGTCCTTGACCCCCTCTTTCCGGCCCACCCCAGTCCTTTGGCCGCATCAAGAAGTGGCTGGAGCACGCCCGCTCCTCGCCCAGCCTCACCGTCCTGGCTGGAGGCAAGTGTGATGACTCCGTGGGCTACTTCGTGGAGCCCTGCATCATCGAGAGCAAGGACCCTCGGGAGCCCATCATGAAGGAGGTGATGGGCAGATGGCAGGGCACAGAAGGGACCGGCCTCTCCCTTGAGCAAGCACACCCACAGGCGGCTGCACACTGTCCTCATCGTGGTGTCCCATTTCACCAATGAGGGAAGAGAGGACCTAAAAGGGACTGTCTCACCCTCAGTGAGAGCAGAGCCAGGCCTTCCCATGCAGCATCCAATGCTCTGTCCCTGACACTGGTGACCTTGGCTGGTGTCACAGCACTTCCACTGCCCACAGCATCAAGGCCCCTGCAGCAATCAGCAGCTAACATTTTATAGACTTTTCTGTGGGCTGGCCAGGCTGGGCCCTTGACTGAGATGAGGTGAATATTAGCATTCCCATTTCACAGATGAGAAATTAGACTCCAAGCTGTCAAGGCACTTGCTCAGGATAGCCACGCAGGGGCAGGGTTTGTCCCCCAGCTCCTTGGTGGCAAGGGAGAGCGATGCTACCTGGAAGTTCCTGTGCCAGCTGCTTCCAGAAGCCTCCCATTTCTGAGGACCTGGACCCTTTGCTCTCTGGGTGTGGGTTTGGTTGGGAGGGAGGGCCAGGAAGTTTCCTCAGATCTTTTGCCAGGTTGGGGTGGGGTGGACAGGCAGGAACTGGGCATGTCACTGCCCCAGAGTGACCTTCCCAGGAAGGTCAAGTGAACCTACCCGGAATCAGCACCTCGCCGCTTTTACAGGCGCTGAGTTATGGACTGAGGCGTTGGGGAGATTGAGAGCAGAGAAACTGGGGGTCCTCAGCTCTGGTCCAGACGCGGCCTGACCTTGGGGCTTCTCTCCCAGGAGATCTTTGGGCCCGTGCTGACCGTGTATGTCTACCCAGATGACAAGTACAAGGAGACTCTGCAGCTGGTCGACAGCACCACCAGCTATGGCCTCACGGGGGCAGTGTTTGCCCAGGATAAGTGAGTGGCTGCAGCCCCTCTGCTCTGGGCCTGGTGCCCTGGCCCCATCCTGAGACTACCCGTCCGGACGCGGATCCTAGTAGTAGGGCTGTCTCTTGCCTTCTCTCCATTCCCTCACTTGAGCCCTGACTGGCAGGCAGGCCTCCCCAGCACAGGTACACAGAAGCTGCTGGACTCTGTTAAAATGCAGGTTCTGGGGTCCCACTACTGGCCGCTGAATCTAGATCTTGCAGGGAATTGGTGCTTTTGACCAGCTCCCCCAGATCTGATGGGGCGCATGGAGTGAGGCCATTGCCTCATGCTGCAGAGGCAGCATTCAGCCTGGGTGCCATGATGCTAAACCCGAGGCTTGGCTTTCCTTCTTTCCTGGAACTAGTTGCTGCCACATGTCTGCTTCTAAAGAGAGCAGAGATGGGATTGGAACCTGAGCAGCAGGGTGGGAGTCTCGGGGTCCCCCAGCTCCCAAGGGGCAGGAACCCTGGACCAGGACAGGCTGCTCCCTGAGTGTGTGCGGCTGAGCCTCCTCTCATTCAGTCCCCGCAGCAGCCCTGCAGGGGAGGCATGCTAACCCCCTTCCAGAGGAGGAAGCCCAGGCTCAGAGACTCTGAGGGGCCTGCCCGAGGGCCCACAGCTAGTGGCTGGCCCATGTCCCTGGTCCCAGGTTCGACTGGTGCTTCAGCTGGACAGCTGGTGTGGGCTGGGCTGGGGGTGGGGAAGGTGGAGGTGAGCCCGCTGCCCTCATATCACTACCCTGCCTTGTAGGGACATTGTCCAGGAGGCTACAAAGATGCTGAGAAATGCTGCTGGCAACTTCTACATCAATGACAAGTCCACTGGCTCAGTGGTGGGCCAGCAGCCCTTTGGGGGGGCCCGCACCTCTGGTGAGTGGGTCCTCCTTTGCAGAGGGGAGTTGAGTTCCTGGTGGGAGCCCCTTGATCCTTTCTCTCCAGGCATTTGGAGTAACAGGAATAGCACATTTATGGAGCCCTGTGGGCCAGGCACCTTGCTCAGTCCCTCCAGCGGCCTCATGAGCTGAGCTGCTTTCCCATTTTGTGGAGGGCGAGGCACTGGCGACGAGACACTGGCTCCGGGGCACATGGCAAGGAAATGGTGTGCCTGGGATTTTGGTTCCAGCACCCACACCTTTTACCACCAAGCTCCAGACCACTTCAGTCCAACTCATTCCTCTTTACAAATGGGGAAACTGAGGCTCAGAGAGGGGTGGCGACTTGCCAAAGGGCCCAGCTGCCCAGTGGCAGAGACAGTGCCGGAACCCAGGGCTCTGGACTCCCAGCACAGTGGTGTCTCCACCGTGCCCCCTGCTTCCCAGGAGGGGCGCTGGGACCCGGGAATGGGGACCGCGGGCAGCCTGCCTCCGCTGACTTCAGATCGTGTGCTCTGCATGCAGACACACACTGGGAACCTGGGCCTGCTGCGCCTTTCACTGTAGTTCAGCTGCTTGCTGCCCGTGCCGGTCCCCGTGTGTTCCCTGCACTCCTCCCCGTGTCTTTTCCCTTCTGCCTGGAGCTGTTGTATCTTTTGAGAGAGAAACAGAGCTTTCTTCCACAGGAACCAATGACAAGCCGGGGGGACCCCACTACATCCTGCGGTGGACATCGCCCCAGGTCATCAAGGAGACCCACGCACCCCTGGGGGATTGGCGCTACTCGTACATGCAGTGAACTGTGCTCGCTCCTCTGCTGTCCACCTGTCTGTCCGTCCAGACGACTGACCTCTGGGCACTGGCCCCATCCCAGCCCCTCCCCTCCCACTGGGACAGTCTTCTTTCCAGGGCCGAGGCCTCCACCCCTGACCCCTGCTGGCCTGTATTCCGGCCTGTCCCACCCCTTGGAATCAGGTGCCAGGCTCTGGTTTGAGACCATGCTGGGGAGGAACAGGGACCACTACCCCTTAACCTGCTAGCTGGCCCAGAAATTCCTACCCGGTAGGTGTGCCCTTTGGGCCCAGCTGCTTCTCCGTCTGTCCTTTTGTCTTTACACCACGGCCTGGTGGCTCAGGGGTCTGGGGAATGGTGGCAGAGCAGCTACCAGGATCCCTTGGGGAAGAGGGGGCATCTCTGGGTCCCTTGGCAAGCCTCACCACCCACAGAGGCTCCTGGCCGTGGCCCTGGCTCCTCCAGGTCTCCAGGGTAAGGTGTGACCTGGGGTGGCCTGCAGGGCTGGTGAGTTACGGCTGCAGCATGCCAGGGACACCAGCTGGCCTTGCCCTCTTGGGTCTGGGCTGCCCGCCTTCCTCACTAGCTCTTTGCCCAGGTTCACCTGAGCCAGTGGGCATCTGTGCCTAACCATATGCCTTAGATGGCCGTGTGCCTTTCTGCAGGGGGCTTGTGTTCATGTGAGGCCCACATGTTTCCTGGCCGTCTGCAGATGCTGGGCTGGGGGACCATTGGAAGCCCCTCCAAGGTGTGGGATGTGGTCCTTCCCGTTGGGGCTGTGGTTTTGAAAAAGCTCAGGTGGGTCTGCACGCTAGTCAGCCTCCTCTTAGCTGGTCCTGCTGCTAGTGAGGGCCACTCTCAGAGTCTGTTGGCCCGGGGTTCTCCTGTAGGAGCTCAGTTCCTTCTGGCTGTGGTAAAGAGGCCTGGTGGGACTTTGCTCCCACCTTTCCCACCCACCGAGACCTAGTCCTGGGTCCCCTTGTAGCCTGGGCCAAGGGTTGCCTGTAGAGTCTTCCCTCCTTTGTGCCCACAGGGCTCTCTTGGATTGGCCCCTAGGTGGCCTGTTCTCTGTTTGACGCAGCCAATTGGTGGACAGTCGCAAATACCTGCTGATTAGATTCTGGGTGGCCAGGGATCTATGAGGGGTGTCTTTGGAGGGCAGTTCTTGGGCCCTAAAAGTGCTGAGCCCTCCTAAGAATGGCCCCATGGGGCTGGTGTGGCTATTCCCCAAGTGCCGTGATTTCAAACAGGCCCGTGGTTGGGGGCAGGTGCCAGTGCTGCCCAGCCTGGGCATGGGCCCTGCTTCCTGCAGGGTCTGCAGTGCTTCTGTGGGAGGCCAGGGCAGCCAGCTGGGGGGCTGGCCGTGTTTGTGGTTCTACACTGTGAGGTGGCAGTGGGATTCACCTGATGCCACACAATAAAAATGCTTTTCCTTAAATTGGTGGTCTTTGTGGTGGGGGTAGTGGGGGCTGGCTAACTTCTAAGTCTGGTGGTGTCACACGTGTGTTATTAGTGTCAGGAGTATAGTGCCCTCAGTGCCCTCGTGTGCGTGGGCACTGATGTTTGGGAATATGTGCTGGAGGTGGTGGGAGCTCTGGAATAAGGTGGGTTCAAACTGTGACTCTGCTTCCCGGCCCAGTGATCTTTAAAAAAGTTATGTAACCTCTCTGACCTTGTGCCTCTTCATCTGTAAATTGGGAATAATGTATGCACACATATACACATACACACAGGTTGTCATGAGAATTCTATTGTGTAAGTGTTCAGGATAATTCCAGACACACAATAATGGTTCAACCATGTTATCCATTTACTCATTGTAACAAGCCACTGGGATGTGGTGAGATAGCTAAAGTTTACGTGTCAACTTGGTTGGGCTGTGGTGCCCAGTTAAACATTATTCTGGATGTTTCTGTGAAGGTGTTTTGGATGAGATTAACATTTAAATCAGTGGGCTTTGAGTAAGTCAGTTTATTCTCCATAGAGAGTGGGCCTTATTCAATCAGTTGAAGGCCTTATAGAACAAAGACTGACTTCCCCAGTGAGAAAAGGTTCTGCCAGCAGCAAAGAGTTTGGACTTACTTGCAGCTCTTCCCTGGGTCTCCAACCTGCCAGCCACCCTGCAGATTGTGAATTTTCCAAGCTCCACAGTTGTAAGAGCCAGTTCCTTACCATAAGTCTTGCATGCTGGTGCATCCTGTCTGCCCTGTTTCTCTAGGGGACCCTGACTGATACATGGGTCAAGGACTTTGCATGTTTCCTCACAACAGCCTTAGGAAGTAAGTGCTGTCATGCTCCCATTTTGCAGATGAAACCAGTGCACAGAGGTGAAGGGACTTGGCTATGGGTATGGAATCACTGGGACATAAGCCAGGTCTATGGTTCCCAACCTGTTCTCTCCACCCAGATGAGCAGATAGCACTGAACTGCCTTGGAAAGACCCCCTCAGCTGGCCAGAGACATGGAGGGGACAACCGTGGCTCATTAATCTGGGTCTAAGCCCACGTGGGCCAGCTGACTTGCAGGGGGGAACGTGTATGTCCTGGCCTGTCTCCAGAGAGAATGTGAAAGGAGCTGCTCCTAAGCCACGTGGGCATCTCTCTGGGGGGTCTGCATCAGGGCTGTTGGCATGGAGATCTCGGAGCTGTGGGAAGTGGGGTGGTAACTAGAACCCCCCTCCTGGCTCACCCAGGGGCTACCACTGACTGGTGCAAGAAGGGGCTTGACTCAGGGCCAAAGGGCAGCACGTGCCCAGGCGGATGCTCGTGGAAGGAAAAGGTGCAAACTACATTTATGCATATGTATGTGTAGGCCAGTGAATGTTTTTGAATGGAGTGCCTTGCTCAAGGCCCTACTGAAATAGTGCGGTGGGCTGATGACTGGCTAAGTGATCTACCTACCCAGTCTCATATAGCCTTGCCATCGACCTTACTGGGTAACTACTACCCGCCTTCTGTGGAAGGTCCAATGAAGGTCAGAGGTGGAATGACTAGCCCAAGGTCACACACCCAATTGGGAGGGCCAGGGTTTGAGCCCAGGTCTGTGGGTGCCCACAGCCATGCTCCTCTCCTCTTGCTCTGTCAGATGTTCCTCGTCCACTGTCATGTGACCCCACCCTCCCCAACCTGGCATCTTTGCCTCCGGTAACGGGCGGTGGTTAAAGCTGTTGCTCATTCTCCCCCTGCCCTCCCTCATCCCCTGGACTTGGGGTGTTGGCTCTTGAGGATCCATTGCCCTCCTGGGTGCCCAAGGCTTCCTTGCATGGTCACCACAGTAAGTTCCCATGTCCGTGGTGGCCCAGGGATCCTCTTCATTTCCCTGCTGTGGCCGGGGGCCAGGCCACGAGTCTGGGACAGGCGTGAAGCATTTGAGACTGGATGTCCTCGCCACCGCCGTCCCCCGGGCTGCTGGCCAGGTGTGCTGTCTAAGGAAATCAGGCTATCAGAGCTGGCTCCTACCTCTAGGCTGCCCCAGAGCTCCGGAAGGGCCAGAGGAAGGGGCAGGCTGCAAACCCACCCTCTTCCCCAAGTCTTCATTTGTATCGATTGCCCCAGTGCATGCTCATCACCACAGTTCCTGTATGTTCTGTCTAGAGGCCGGCCTCGTAAACAGTAGGAGCCACCATTGCCTGAATGCAGGCTGTGGGCCAGGCATCACATCTTCAGGTCCTCACTGCAGTCTCTGAAGGGCTTTCCTGCTCCCATTTTACAGATGGGGAGACCGAGGCACAGATGGGCCAAGTAACCAGTACACCGGTAGGAGATGGCTGCCTGGGCTTTGGTTGCCCATCTCTGCCTGCCAGGTCTGTGCTCATAACCAGTCTGCACCGTCCTGGAGCACAACGGTGGCATCAGGCAGGCCTGGGCTCAGCTCCCATCTTAACCCCCCTTACCTGTTGTGCCTTATTCTCCCCACCCTCTGGGATGTTTCTCAGGGAGCTGAGGATCAAACGGCATGTTTAAAACACAAAGTGCCAGGACCGGGCCCTGCACAGAACGAGCTGCTCAGTGAAAGAGAGCTTGGTATTTTCAGCCACTCCCTCCACACTTTTATCCTGGCACCGGTGCCCAGGAAGGAGGAGAAGGCAGGCTTCACTGAGCACCATTAATGGACCAGGTGGTCCCGCTAATGACCTTTGCCACAGCAGCCAAGGAGGGAGGTGGTATTTTAGCCACATTTCACACATGAAGAAACTGAGGCTCAGAGAGGTAAAGAGAGAGCCACTCGGGCAGGAGGAAGAGCAGAATTTGTTTCTGATGACCATGCCAGCACCCCCGTGCCCTGGTCCCTCAGGAATCCAGCAGCTTCTGTATGGGAGCCAGCCAGTGGGTGGGTGGGAGGAGGCATGGCTGTCACTGTGGCTCCGGACGCAGGCAGCCAGCCTTGTCCTCCACACTGGCTGTTGGCAACCACATGACCCTCAGGTGCCCAAGGCACGTCAGAATTCTTTTCAAGGACTCTGCCGTGTCCTCCCTTCAAGCCCCAAGTGCCCAGGCAGTTACCCCCAGCCCCTGTACATTTGGTGCACAAGGCTGGGGCAAAGCAAGGGGGCTGATGTTCTGCCAGGCACCTGCTCTTAGACGTGTACTTGGGCAGACATGGTTGGGAGGAGAGCATGGCTCAGGGAGGGCAGTGCCTGGAAGAGGTCACACAGCCAGCAAATGGCAGAGATTGGATTGGAACCAGGTTGGTCAGATCTGAGTCTTAGGAGAAGAATCATACAGAGTCATAGACCCCGCCTTTATTGGTGTTAAAATTGAGGTCCCATGCCAGGAATGAAGCCATAGACACTGTAGTATAGTATTTGCCGCCACTTATTGTGCAGATGCCTGACGCATTACATGCATTTAGTCACCCTCCTTTATAGGCGAGAGAGCAGAGGAGTCAGAGCCTGCTGGTTGGCCCTTGCCCACCGGTTTGGGTGGTGCCCTCTGGAGCCCCACAGAACAGGCCACCCCTTCCCCACCCCAGCCCTTTATGCTCCCTTCAGGGGCTCCCTGAGTCTCTTCCTACTCAGGCTGAACATACCTGTCCCTTCATCAGCTCCCTGGGGGACGAGGTTTCTGGTTCTTCATCCACCTCATGACCTCTGGTGGCGCCAAGAACAGTTCAGAGTCGTCGTGAGCTGGGACCGGCTGTGTGACCTCGGCTGGGTCACAGCACCTCTTTGAGCCTCAGTCCTCTCTTGTGTAAGATGGAGATGGAATGATAACAGTTCTCATTCTTACAGTTGTTATGAAGATTGAATGAGCTAAAACACAAAAATGGACTTAGTCCTGGGCTGGGCGGCCAGGGGTCAGTCTACATGAGCAGTGACTGTTAAAATCATCTACTCATGTGAGGTCTGATCACATTACATGGCAGGACTGTCACTTCCCTTGTTCTGGACAGTCCGCTCTTTTTTTTTCCTGCTTTTACTTTTTATTTGCATTATCTTATGCTGAATTTATTCCCAGGCCATAAGTTTCTGTTTCTTGAGTTTCTTCTGAGATGGTTTAGGCACAATCTGCTCTTTTTCAGTAAGGATCATTTCAGTGTGGCAGGGAGACCTCATATATGGGTCGATTCGATCATGAGCTCTAAGTTCTGTGCCACATCTTGGGAGCTTTGTTCACCTGGATATGCCAGATGACCAGAGAATCTACATCTAAACCCTTAAGCTCAGCATTACTCTCTGTATTTGCAAGCATGTGCAGTAAAAATTCAGCACGCTTTTTGGTCCACCAACCCTGTGTCCATCCCCACTGTTTGGCCTGGGCACACCTACCAACTCCACCATTGCAGCGATGGAATGGCACACACTGCTTCTGCAAGGTGACATCCTTCAGATACTTCGTAGCTTTTCGGATATGCATACCTTTGATGGCCTGGGCAGTTTCACGAGTGTTCTTAAAGTGAACACGGAGATTTGAGCCTCTTGATTTGCATGATTTTGTGGGGTTTTCTGGGTCAAGTGAATAGCGAACCGTTTTTGGAGATCACCTCAGGCTGCATACGTGAAGAGCAGTCCGCTCTTTTTGGTACAACTTTAAATTTAAGATGATTAAACTAACACAGTGGAAGGTATATGTATGAGCTCCTGAAGGGAAACAAAACCAGGTTCAAATCCCAGTGACTTGGGCAAACCAGGTCGCCTTCTGGGTCCTGGTTTCTTCATACGTACAATGGGGATAAAAATCCCTCACTGAACTGCGGTGAGCAGATGCAGGGATGTTTCAAAGTATTGTAGAGACTTCCATGAATAGTGCTTCCCTTCCCTTCACCTTTAGCGACCATCAAGAGAGACAGATTGGAGGATGGGGTCGGGGAGAGGAGCTGACACAGGCCCCAGGCCCTGGAATCAGGCTCCTCTTGTGCTCGGGTCTCCCGGTACCACCAACTACTGTGGCAGGTGGGGAAGGAAGTTCAGGGCACTGCCCCCCCCAGGCCCAAAGCAAATGTGGCTAGTTCCTTCCCGTGAGCCCCGGGGGAAGCAGATGCAAGGCTAATGGGCAGGTTCTCCTGGGCCCCCATTTCCACAGCTCCCCCTCCTCCCCCACCATGGGCCTTACATAAGCCTGCGGTGGCTCTCTGACACCCTAGCAATCAATGACCACACAGATGTGAACACTGGGACCCCAGGTCCTGGACTAGGTCATGAAGGTGACAGTTGTGTTGGGCCTGGGCCACCCTGGGGCATGTGTTGTGTGTTCTAGCATGTACTACCCTCCTGACACCCCTGATTCCTGTCTCCAGACTACAAGCCACAGCCCTGTATCCTGGCTGTGTCATCCCCGCACTGATCCCGTGAGGATGGAATTATATTTCAGGAGGAGAGGAACTAGAGGCTCAGAGAGGTTGAGCAACTTGCCTGTGCTCACACAGCAAACAGAGCTGATGTCCAATCCAGGTGGGCTAGAGTCGTGCGGCCTCAAGATTCCGAGAGTGTAGACACACTCCTCCACAGGAGTGTCTCAACGATGTAGGGCTGTTAATGGGTGCCCAGGGGTGACACATGGGCTGGTGGGTCAGTGTAGCTCAGAGCAGGGGCAGGGCAAGTCCTGTGAACTGGGGCCAGGGATGGTTCTTGGAGGAGGCAAGGCCACCCGGCCCTTGCAGGAGGAGCAGGGTTTGACCAGTGCAGGATGGAGGGGAGCGTGGGCTTCCCATCAGCTCCCTGCACCACGGAGCCTCCTCCTGCACTGAGAGCTGGCAGGCCTGTGACAGGCCCCTGTGAGCTGCGCAGCATGTGGCAGGTGTCCTGAGGCTGCTGCTCGGCTGCTCGTTGCCAGAGCCGGTAAGGGCCGGCACAAGAAGACATGGTCAAGGGCCTCTTACTCAAGTGGGGTCCTAATTTGCCAGAGCTGCCCCCCTCCACCCCACTCCCGGGGGTAGTCACCTTTGCCTTTGGGAATTTTCAACTTTTTCTTGGTGCTGGATCCCAGGGAGGTGCCCCGAGGGGCTCACTCGGCAGAGCTGCTGATGGACTGCTGGCAACCCTCGTGGCCAGATGCCCGCTGTCAGGGCGAGACCCCCACTCCCCCACACCCACCTCCCATTCTCCTTGCTGTTGCTCTGCTGCTTTTTTTATTTTTATTTTTTTAACTTTTTTTTTTACTTTTGGTATCATTAATCTACAATTATAGAAAGAACATTATGCTCTGCTGCTTTTTATCAAAACCAAGAACTTTGTTATGTAATACAGCGTGGAGATTAAGAGCCAGGCCCCTGAATCCTGGCGTGCTGGTTGTGCAGCCTCGGGCTGGTTTCTTCGGTTCTCTGTGCCTCGGTCTCCTCATCTGTGAAATGGGGCGGGTAGCAGTCCCACTCATTGTGAGCACTAGTGAGATGGTGAATGACAAGTGCTCAGCAGATGTCTGGTTCTTATTGACAGTGGCTTCTGCTTTTGGAACATCTCTCCTGGGTCAGAGGCCATATATACATTACACCAGGCTCTGGAGCCTGGGTCCCTTTGCCAGCCTGCTCTGTCTGCTGATGGGAGCGCCTGTGCCCTTTACTCCCAAATGTTTGGAACGTCAGGGGCATGAGACTTGTCCTTAACCACGTGGCCAAAGGCTGGGGAGTGACCTAGCAGGACATGTTCTCTCTGCCTCCAAATGGGGTTCTCCCAGACCACCCAGGCCCCACCCTGCCCAGGAAGGGGTCATCCCAGGGGCTTTCCCCACCCCATGGACAGTGGCATGACCGTCACTATGTAAATGTCTGTGCAAATCCCTGGTGTCAGGCCACCAGCTCTCTGGTGAGGCAGGGCCCCCTCTGGCCTGTACAGTTGCCTAACACAAGTGTGGTATATAGTAGGTCCTCTAAAAAGTGCTATTAGTATTACTGCTATTCTTATAACTATTATCATCGTCATGATTGAAAGCATCTAGCACAGAACTGGTACAAAATAGTCATACATTCAAGAGCAGCTAGCACAAGGCTTGGCACATAATAGGTAGTTACAAATACTGTAAATTTTGCTTTTGTTTTTATAAAACAAGGGGCTGACACATAGTAGGTGCTCAACAAATGTTAATATTCTTGTGTGAAGCATCTGGTCCAGGACTAAACTCATGCTTTCATTCATTAACAAGGATTTATTGAGTACCTACTGTGCCAGATACTGCTGTAGGCATGGGGGATATAGCCAGGAATAAAACAGAAATCATTACTCTCATGCAGCTTATCTTCTAGTGGGGAGAGAGATATTGATAATGGATCTGAATTAGTGACATTTATTGTTAGTGTTAGACTGTGAGAAGTGCAATGATGAAAATGAAAGCCAAGCACGGTGAGGGAGATTCACCGTGTCGGCGGACAGGTGGAGTAGGGAGGGGGAGATAGTGGTTTTAAGCAGGTAGTCAGGTGGGTCTTGCTGACGGTTGGCCAAGGCCTTGAAGGGTGGACTGAGGGAGGTACATGGGTATCCAGTGGGAGGACACCCCGGGGAGGGGAATCAGCAAATGCAGAAGCTGGAGGTGCCTGGCGTGTCCTCTGGGTGAGCAGAACCAGGGTCCAGGGAGAGTAGGAGGAGGCGAAGTGAGAGAGGCACCGGCTGGAGTCAGCACTGGGGCCCCTTAGGGGCCACTGAGGGGCTCTGGCTTTTTCTGAGTGACACTAGTTGCTGTTGGAGGGTTTTGAGCAGAGGAGTGACGTAAGTGCCACTGTGTGAGCAGTGTCGCCCTGGCTGCCAAAGCATAGACGGCAGGGGGGTGTGGCGGGGGGATGATGTGGTGGCCCAGGCCTGGCGTGATGGTGGCCGCACTAGGATGAAGGGGGGCAATGCGCGGTGGCAGGCACTGGATGGACACATTTTGAAGATAGATCCGGCGAGATTTGCTGGCGGACTGAATGGGGCCTGTGTGAGAGGCAAGAGCCCGGGGCGACTCTTCTGCTTTTGGCCTGAGTAGCTGGAAGGATGGATTCACTGTCAGTGGAGATGGGGAAGGTTATGGGTAGAACAGGTTCAGGAGAGACAGGAGTTGTTTTGGGTATGTGACATTTGAGACGCCAGCGGGTAGACCATTGTGAATATGGGTCTGAGGTTTAGGAGAGCCTCCAGGCCAGGGCGATACACTGGGAATCGTCAGTGTTGGAAGTGGTATTTAAAGCTCGGAGCTTGTTGGACGTCACCAAGGGAGGGAAAGCAGGTGGAGAGGTACGACTGAAGGCTGAGCCCTGGTCCTCCAAGGTCCTCTTCAGCGGAGAAGAGAAGGAGCCAGCAAAGATGGAGCAGCCAATGAACTGGAGAGAACCAAGAGCAGAAAGTCCTGGAGCTGAAGGAGGAGATGTGACTGACTGTGAAAGTGGTGAGGGGGAAGGCACTGTGCTCAGGGACACACAGTAGGTGCTTGACAAATGTGACTATATGATGGGAATGATAACGATATAAATCACCTAGCCTAGAGCTCGGCACATAGTAGGTGCTTCATAAGTGATACCACATGATACCATGTTGATGCTGATGTGAAGCTCCTAGCCTAGGGCCTGGCACATAGTAGGTTCTCACTAAATGTCACTACAGTGATGATGATGATGGTGTACATCACGCAGCCAAGGGCATGGCTGGCACTGTGTGCTCCCCAGATGTCACCAGGATGATAATGGCAGGTGGAACCCCCTGCGGGGCCTGGCCATGAGCCCCTTGCTGATGCTGGCAGCCCCTCCCCTCCAGCAGATCACCTACAGTGCCATCAATGATGAGCTGCGTGACAGGCTGGGCTTTCCAGCGCTCCTGCACACAGTGCCAGGGACCAGTCACCAGATTGAGGTCATGGTACAGCTCATGCTGCCCTTCTGCTAGAGCTGGGTCATCGTGTTGGTGAGCGGCGCCGACTGTGGCCATGATGGCAGCCAGGGGCTCAGCGAGCACCTGGCCGATGGCAACATCTGCATCACCTTCCAGAAGGTGCTGCCCACACCGCAGCCCAACCAGGTGGCCATGCAGCTGGAGTGCGAGCCCCTGGACAACTTGGGGTGGAGCGCGGTGCGTGTCGTGCTGGCGTTCTTGCCAGACCTGGCCCTGCATGACTTCTTCCACGAGGTGCTGTGCAGGAACTTCACAGCATAGTGTGGATTCCCTCCGAGTCCTGGGCCGTGGACCTGGTCCTGCACAACCTCACTAAGCTGCTCCGCGCAGGCACCTTCCTGTGCATCACCACCCAGACAGTGCCCACCGGGGCTTCAGCGAGTTCTGCGTGCCCTCCACTAGGCCAGGCTGCCCCAGCCTGGAGACCACCTGCAAATGGGAGTATGGCACCTTCCAGGACACCACCATGTCCTTCAACACCATCCTCACACTGTCCGGTGAGCGCCTAGTCTACAACGTGTACTTGGCTGTCTCTGTTGTCGCCTACATAGCTGCACAGCCTCCTGGGCTGCAAGCAGGCCAGCTGCTCCAAGGAGGTGGTCTATCCCTGGCAGGTGAGGCCCGGCCCAGGGTCAGCCAACACCCCATGGAGCAAGCATAGTCTGTGGGTTCCATGGAGACTGCAGGGCACTCCAGTGCTCTGCTCTAGCCTCCCCTTCCCTGGTGGTTCTGGGCAAATTGGTGGCGGAGACCATGGGGCATGCATGCCCTGCCTCCAGACACACAGAACCAGAAGTCCTTCATGATGATACAACAGAATTCCTTTTTTTAAAAATTAATTTAATCATCCTTATCCAAGATCATCTGTACTTGGAGATTGGGGTGAAATTCCCTGAATCCCCACAGTGATGGGAGCCCGGCTTCCCTGTGCAGGTTTACAGACCTTCTCCTTGTTCCTGTTCTGTGTCACCTTGATTCACACCTGGAATTTTAGATCTTGTGTTTTTCTGATTTACGCACACATACATTCCCTACCGTGAGCACTTCGGGGGTGTAGAGATTGTACTGAGGATCTAGAGGAGCCGTGGGGATTTACACCACAGATTAACTTCATACTTTGCTCTCACACAACTCTGTCCTTGAACAGTTCCTCAGCTTTTCCACAGTTTGGGTCTCAGCCACTGCCCCACCCTTGTCTACAGCCGGTCTTCATTCTCTCCTTCCTCCCTTTTTCTGGACCCCCCCACCCCCAAATGCCTGTTCACTTCCTTAACAGAGCCATTTGGTTCACTCCTAACCCTGCCCCTATTCCATTTATTTGTACCCCTCCACGCCCATAATCTCAGAACCTGACTTTGCGACCCTAAGTGTTTATTTTCTAAAAAGGTGATTATTCTTTAAAAGGAATTCTGTAAATGCTGTGTTTTACTTTCTGTCGTGCTACCTTAATGCTGGGCCTAGTTATCATGGCTGTTTTGCTGTTTCTTAAGCGCCTAGGGCTCTGAGTGCCCAGTGGATATCACGCTAACTCACGGCCATCCTATGAGGTTGATGATCAACAGATAGGGAAACTGAGGGCCAGGGAGTGGAAGCGAGTTGCCCATGGTGGCCTAGTGGTAAGCAGCAGATGGCAGCTTTGAACCTGGGTCCACCCACTCCCGTGTGATCGTCCCACTACACTCTCCGGTTCCCCCACCACAACTGGCAGGAGCTATGATGGAGAACCAGTCGGCTTCTTTCCTAAGAGTGGAGACCAAAGGGTACTAACAGCAACGAGGGCATCCAGTCCCATTTACTGAGTGTCCGCCATGTACCAGGCCCTGGTGGGGCACTGTCAGGGGGACAGACCCTCACCAGTATGAGACGAGGATCGCGAATAAGATCTGTCTGCTGAGGGCAGCAGGAAGTCAGAGTGGCGGGACCTGGGCATATAGCCAGGAACAAAACAGAAATCATTGCCTCCTAGAGCCCATCATAGGAACCTTCACTTTATCCACATGAACGTTCAGAGAAGTGAAGGTCACCCAGCTAGGGAGTGGAGGGAGGATGAAATAGGGCAGGGTGGTGGGGATGGAGAGGAGGCGCCCTAGGAGAGGCGAGGGGGAGGGGGAGGTGTCAGGTGATGAGGAGCCTGGAGGTGGAGGCTGGAACAGCTGCTCCCTGTGGTGATGGGGCATCTGCACAGGAGGAGGCTGGAAATCCAGGCTGGCACATGAGAGGGGGCTTGGGCAGTCCAAGGGAGATTGCTCAGCAGGTTATCGAATCATCTGAGGGCAGAGCCATGAGGTCTTCTCAGAATCTTCTGGTCCAGTCCATCTGTGGGGAAAGTTGGGGTTCCTATGGCCAGGATCCTCACCTGAACCTGAAATACTTGATGATGTAACCGGCCTGCTGCTAGGCTACTGCTTCCACACCTGCAGGCAGTGAGCTATTATTGACTGAGTCACTATATAAAGAGCTCTGCCCAGCCCTCTGGGCAAAGGCAGAGACAAAGGGGGATTACAGACATGCAGACTGTTGGGTGCAGATGTAATTCTAGTGCTCGACCTATCGCAGGGAGAACAAGCCAGGTAATAAACCCTTTCACCCCAAGAATGCTCCATTGTCATTCCTCAGTCTCACTGAATCCATGGTGGGCCTGCCCAGGGCTGAAACCCATTAGCAAGACTCCATCTAGTTCATAAATGGGGGACTGAGGCCCCTGGGGCCCTATCAGGGACCATTCAGCCAGCCAGGACCAGCCTGGTTCATTTGCCACCCGCTGGCCATCCTCACTCGCTCTTTGGCATCTCCTGTATGGCCATCCACCCATCTCATCTCTTGGGAGGTAGGTGGTGAGGAACCGAGCAGAGCTTTGGAATCAGGCCAACCGGGTTCGAGTCCCAGCTCTGCCACCACTAGCAGCCTCGGGCAAGTTATTCACTATTCTGCCTCTCGGTTTCCTCATCTGTTAGGTAGAAGGAACAACAGCCTGTTGAGTTATTGAGAAGATTAATAATGCCATATGCAGAGTACCTGGCACAGAGTAGAAGCTGAATGTCCTTTTCCTCTGCATCCATGGCTGACACCTGCGTCTGGCCTTAGGCGAGAGGGTGGGGCTTGGAGGCATAGCCAGTGCTGGGGTGGGTGTGGGGCTAGGTTAGGAAGGAGAATCAAGGCTCAGACCCCATAGAGGAGCCCCAGGCCCCTGCTAATAACAGTCCAGGCCCCCACCTGCTCAGGAGAGTTGTTGGGAGAAAGCTTTATGACTGCATGTCTTGGGCCCCTGGGATCCCAGGTTGTTCAGCCCAGCTTGGCCAGGTTGAGCAGGGGTGTGATGGACACCAGCATCTGGCTCCCTGGGGTCTCCGCCGCCCTGATCCCCATCTGCAGGTGAAGCCTCCCTCCTCTCAGCTCCCAGGACCATTGCCCTCAGGCCCAGCAACATGTGAAAGTTCGAGAGAGGCTTCCAGAGCCAGGACTTCACTCTCTGGGCTGAGCGGGGAGAAGGCTGTGGCCCAGCTCCTGTGGTTATCTGTCTGTCAGTGGTGAGGTGAGGTGAGGTGAGCCCCGGGCTCCTGAGATACAGCCCAATAGACTCTCCCATTTATGGTGGGAAAATCTAGGAGCTAGACCGATGGCATATCTAAGCTGGAAGTCCTTTCAGGGCTAGCCCAGAGAGGCTAAGTGACTTGCCTAAAGTCACACAGCAAATTGCAGACACACCTGGGACTGGAATTCGGGCTGAAGGATGCCAGTCCAAAGTCTGCTCTTGCAGACTGAGCGTGACAGGGGATGGAGTGGGGAGAGATTGGAAAGATAGTTAACTCTAAAGTGTGGGCAGGCAGGAAGGACCCAGGAGATGGGGACAGTGCAGCTGACGCTTGCAGGGAGGAGAGGCAGTGGACTCTGGGCCCCAGGTACTGGGTCCCAGAGGGATGGCTGAGGTGACTTCTGGAGCAAGGGAGTAACAGCAGGAAGTGAGGTCTCACTGTTTTCCGGGCACTGTTCTAAGTCCCTAACATAGATGAACTCATAAATTGCTTTAAAACTCAGAGTCTCTCCAAAGCCCAGGAGACAGTGTTTTTGTTGCTATCTCTTTGCGACAGAAGAGAAAACTAGGGTTCAGAGAGGGTAAGCAGTGGGTCCCAGATGTGTCTGAATCCGGAGCCAGAGCCTTAGTAGGTGCCTTCCAAACTGCCACATTGGCAAAGTCTTATTGCCCCTACTTTACAGAGGTGGAAACCAGGGCTTAGCGGGATGGTAGAACTTCTCCCAGGTCTGGCCTGACCTCTGAGGCCACTTCCTCTCCCTCTAGCCCCTGTAGCTACCGCAGAAATTCTGGAAGGTCTTCTGCACCCTCTCGGGCCAACAAATCTCCTTTGACCAGAAAGGGGACCTGCCCATGTGCCTGGAGGTCACCCAGTGCCAATGGGACCTGAACCAGAACCTTCCCAGAGCATCGCCTCCTGCTACCCCGGCTGCAGTAGCTGAAGGCCTGCCCAGCACCTCCTGGCACACCCCCGACAGCACCGGTCAGCTCTGGGGGCTGGTGGAGGGTGTGGCTGGGGGCTGGGTGCCAGGGCATCAGGGCCTTGTGCTGGGGTGGCAGGGGCCCTTTCCACCCAAGATTCATTGA